GAGTAATGGAAAATACCTGTTTGTATTTGACGTTCAGTTATGTTTTACAATGAAAAGACTTTCTGTAACTAGCACCGCACAAGTAGGAGGATAAGTGTTACTGCACTGGCATTAGTAAAGCTATTGCTTAATTGGACATAGCATCATGCATCGAGCCATTCACAACCTAACCAAGCTCTACTCTTCAGAACAATGGCAACCATAAAAGTTTCAACATAACAGAAACATATTTAAATGTCAAACATCACTGAACATTCAAAATTAACAGATCTATCCCGTCACTCAAAAAGGAACACGTAAACAGAAACCAGCGGGCTCACGTAGCTACCTCCATCATTCAGCACAAATCTAAATGTTTATTTGCAATGTATTTGGAATGGATGCTAAACTATTATTTTATTTAATGCTAAACATACTTAATTTCAACTCAATTCCATATCCAAAGCATGCTGGGAACTAAAAATCCAATACCCAGTTTCAGTTGATGCAACAAAAATCATTCATGTTATCCCAACACAAATGGTTTGAATAAACTTTAGTTTTAAGTAGATTGAACATAATGATATTTATTAAGTTAGGACAAAATGTACAACAATTCTGTTGCTTTAGCTCATTTTAGTTAAGTAATTTGAACAAGCATATTTTTTATGTATATACAGTAAAAAAAGTTTTTTTTACTGTATATACACGCTATGTTTCCAATGTCTGTTCTGAACTCAGTGACGCATGTCTCACTCTAGAGAGAAAGAAAAAAAATTACTCTCTATTCCTCTTAGCTTCAAGTCATTTACTGTATTTTTTGGTTGAGTAAACTGTAGTTGAAATAGTATATTACATGATGGGCTGTGAGTAGGTCTCACTGTGAAATATTTCTCAGTATCAGTAAAGTGCATTGTGTACTGTGGTATTCATAGCATGGGGGTTTACCAGATTTCATGCCCTCCTGTTTCCCCTCTGCTGTCTGTTTTGCAGACTTTACTTTGTACTTTGTGTTGCTTATTTTGGACTATGATTATATGACTATTTTTAGTTGTCAAGAACAGGCTTTTCTAAACTTGGCGCTTTGCTGATAAGAGCTTGAACGTGCGTTGAAAGTGCCAGTCCCAGAGAGCCTTCCAAGATATTTACATTTACATCAGACTTTTGACCTATTTCCCAATATTAGAACTGATATAAAAATAGTTTTGTCATTATTTATTATTAATATTTTGTATGTACTAAATTTAATTTACTAATTAAATTTTATTTTTTGCTTCAGGGAATAATATGATCTTAGACTGAGGGAGGACAAAACACGCTAAGACTAGGACTGGGTATCATTAAAAAATTTCTGATACCGATACCTTGACTTCGATACCGGTTCTTGAACGTAGTTTTTTCCGGTACCAAATTTATGAAATCCGTTTTTTACAAGATTACATTAAATATTACCTAAAAAAACAACAACTTATGGTTATATTTTTTAGTTTGTTTACTTTTTTACAGACGCGTATAGGCCACTGAGTGGCAGAATATATGCCGAATGACAAGATTTTTTTGATACTCTGGTATGTATCGAGGCAATTCGGTCCATACCTAAAAAATACCCTATGCTTCGTTCCTTTTTAGGGATGCACGATATATCGGCCAGCATATCGGTATCGGACGATATATGTTCATTTTTAATGTTATCGTTATCGGCCTTGTAAGAAAATGTGGCCGATATATTAATAGCCGATAAATAATGTATTATTCCCTTCAGCTGAGACACTTGTTGAGCACTGTTTATGTTTTTGATTTTCTTGAAATATTATTGAAATCTCTATTGAGATTTTTAAAAATTAAAATATTGTTCGGTACAACATGTGCAGCGCAAATCTGTCATATCGGCTGTACAACACTATAATGAGAACATCATTATAATCGTGCGATTGGGACGTGGATTTAATTGTGAGACTTTTGTTTTTGTAATCAGGCTCTCAAAATTAGATAAAAATTTGGATTTAAGTTTATCGGCCGATATATCGGTTATCGGCTTTCAAATATAAAGAATTATTGGTCATCGGTATCCGCAAAAATGTTCATATCGGTGCATCCCTATTCCTTTTTTAATTACAAGGAAATGGCAAATACAATTGATTCACATGGGACTGCATTTTGGACTGTTTAGCACTTGCTTAACTGCAAATGGACAAATTAACAGTGGCTATGCTCCTGCTTAACAATTGGTTTGCTTTGCACTAATGACTTTTTAATGGGGGCTGGACAGGATGCTGAAGAGTATATATCTGTGGTGCAGTCCCTGAATTTCCAGAGAGCTTACACATCCCTACACAACCCCCTGAGGCAGCCCGTGTCTCATCATTGCGTGGCCTGTCTTGGTGCAGTAGCGAGAAGGTGAAAACTGGGTTTTGAGAGCACTATCTCTTCTTTGCTGCATCTCAGAGCCCTAGCAGTGATGTTACATAATGCTACTACGCTTCCCATGCCTAAACCGATTACGCCAGCAGCAAGCAGTTAAGTTTGCTAGGCTCATCAGATCGTTGGACATCGTTTGAGTCATGCATGGGTTAATTATTCATTTTGTTCATGAAATGATGCTTAATGCACTGTTGTAATTTATCATACTCAAGTTTTCCTCTCCAGAAGGCAATTTTATTTGCAAGAAAACTAGTTTTGTTTGGAGCATGATTTTGGTTGCTTCTCTCAGCATTTAGTTAGAACAGAAAAATGACTTGAGTTGACAGTGACTCAGATGGTCGTGTCGCACCTGGTCAGGACATGGTGTGAGAGTGACAATGTTGTCAAGTTGTGATTGACATAGTGGTCTCTTTTTCACTCGAGCTCAGCAGCAGTGGTGATTGCATGATACCAGTTGGGCTCATTAATGCAGCTCTAAAACCATGGGGAACATTCATTCAATTATCCTTCAGCAGTGACTTCTGGTGAGGAGGTCTGCTCTGTTTTTTTTTTCTTACAGTATTGCATTTGTATTTGGATCATGCTCTTCAGTTTATTCTGACATTACTAATTTGGATTATGAGTAGCAGATGGCTGGTTAGTGTTTTATCTTGCTCATTTATGCTGGTGTTGTGCACTAGTGAGTTCATTAGCTCTGCATGGGTGGACAACACCTGTAGAGAAACATCCCTATTGGAGCATTTATACCATATGAAGAGTTCAGATGCAAAAGCCTCTAAGTGCCATTTGAGATTTTCTTCTAGAATGATCATTTTTATCAAGCTCATATACGAGCTTGATAAAAATGATCATTCTAGAAGAAAATCTCAAATGGCACTTAGAGGCTTTTGCATCTGAACTCTTCATATATTCAAACAAACTTCTTCAGCTGCTGATTCTGCTGTCATTAACTCACAGTTTTGTATTCAGAGCAAATGTACTGTAACACATAAACAACGAACTTACGGAATAGGCCTAACTTAGTGAATGGGGGTTTAGGGGGCGATTTTGGATTCAACCTATGCTCTCAAGCAGTGAAAAGTAGAGAAAAGAGAACTGGAAAGTAAAACAGATAATTTTATAATTAAATATGCAAAAAAGATCGATACTTGGCGCCCGTGTATCGATACAGTATTGCCACAGAAAATATCGCGATACTATGCTGTATCGTTTTTTTTCCCCCACCCCTACTGGTTTCCTACTTGTGATTGACTAGTTATGTCGCAAATTAGTTAAAATCTCCAGAGCGAGTCTGCTCACGAGACTGTTAAGTTCACTTTTCAAAAAACTTTTGCTGATAATTTCCTCACCCCCATGTCATCCAAGATGTCCATGTCTTTCTTTCTTCAGTCGAAAAAAAATTAAGGTTTTTAATGAAAACTTTCCAGGATTTTTCTCCATAAGATCGTTTTAGTTTTATAAGATCAAACGCTCGCCTTGCTCTGTTCTGTGGTGCACATTCGTGACTCTCCTGTTCGAACTCGTTCCACAAAATGAACAAATCTTTTTCCGAATCAATTCTTTCGTTTCTTTCGCCGAATGAACCAAATGACTTGTTCATTTTGATGAACGAGTTCGAACAGGAGTGCGTTACAGAACAGAGCAAGGCGAGCGTTTGAGCTTATAAAACTTAAACTTTGTTATGTATTTATAAAACGAGCAATCATTTCGCTTGATAAGACCCTTATTCATCGTCTGGAATCGTTTAAAGCCCTTTGAACAAGTTTGCAGTTTGTACTTAAAGTTTCTTTTGGAACTTGAACCGTCTGGTTTCCAGTAAAGTCCATTATATGGAATGTTTTCATCAGAAACCTTAATTTCTTTTCGACTGAAGAAAGAAAGACATGGACATCTTGGATGACATGGGGGTGAGTAAATTATCAGCAAAAGTTTTTTGAAAAGTGAACTAATCCTTTAAACCAGCACAATTCACAACAAAAGTGCTCAATATGCCACGGAAATCCAAATGCATAAAACACATGCATGTGATCATTGAACTGCTGTACATAAACAGCACTGGCCTGAGTGACCTTTCCATAAACTGGCCCAGATCTCTCTCTCACTGACCTGGTGTTGAGCCTTGATGCATCTTTATAGGGGAGCAAGGGTTACCAAAAGTTGAGTTATTTCCATAAACTGATGCAAATCTTTGTTATTAGTTTAACCTGTACACAGTCGTCAGCCATATAGGTTAGAGGGTTATAGCCAGTACAGTGCACAGAGCAAACACAACTCTGTTGACCTCTGCTTGTGTGCGTCTCTGTTTCAGTGATCCTGCTATCTTAAAGCACCCACGTGTTGGCAGCAACGCTTGTTACGTAACAGACAAAAGCCCGGCTAGCAAATGCAGAAAAATCTGTTAGGTGCTTTCTGTTTACAATCCATCACCTTGGTGTCTCTGGCAAACCCTGAATGCCGTAATGATGCAACATTTGTGATGTTGAGATGTCATCCGTATTGCCTATAAGCTGACTCTGTAAACATGCCAGTTGCCTTTTGTTGGTCGTTTCTAACCTCAATAATCTGAGATGTTAAGTTAACTTTGACTCTCTGTTTTTCAGGTTTTCGTGCACAGCATCCATCTCTGACCATTTTGCTTGCTGGATGGTTCTCCGAGCTGGGCTGCTGCTGAGAGATGGGCTGTTGACCTTGTCCTGGGGGCCCAGACCTCTGAAACTGCTGTCCTGTTGTGTTTGTTTGTGTTAGAAGAGGCTGACTCACTCTAACTAATGTTATGAAAGATGTCAGGTGAGTGTGATGTGAAACAAGCTTTATGCTATTGAGTCACTTCAGGGTTTTATTTAGCACTTCACATTTCCTTTAAACTCTTGACAGGAGCTGTTTTTGAGTCACTAATCTTATCCCCACCCAGTGGATTATTCTGATTAGCTGCTCTGGGCTGGAGTTCTTTTACATGCCTAGAAATGATCAGATAGGGATGCATAATCATGTTCCAGATTCAACCGATTCCCTTGTTTTTGCTGTTAGTCTTTCTCTAGTCACTCTGCTATAGTTGCCAAACAAAGTCAAAGCGAGAGAGAAAGCAGCTTCCTCGCTGAAAAGGCCCTTTATGTCCGTCAGTGGCACAGCGAGCTGCCTGCCTTTTTGTTGGTCATAGAGGTGGGAAGGGCCCAGTAAGGAATCATGAGTCATGGGCATTATATTGAAAAGTTTGAGTCAGAGCTTTAAGGGAGGGGACGGCAGCGCTGACAGGATGGACCATTACATCAGGGAGGGGTGATTTAAACATTGGGACTTTTTTTTACTCCATAATGTTATCATCTATGCGTGACGCCTGTGTTTGTTAACCAGTAAAGTGTCATCAGCAGCAACGAATCACTATTTAACACCCTTTGAGTTTTTACATTTTCATTGTCCTGTTGAGGAAGATGTAAATGCCACTTTTATTTAATCTGTCATCCATAAAACTTTGCCGTCTAATCTTGTTTCAACAGTCTTTTAAAATTCTCCATAACTGTGCCTGAATGAGGCATGGATCGTGTGACTGCACGATATTCAAGACTTAAAAAAATAAATAAAAACGTTTTAAATAACTTGTGGAATATTTAAATGCTCCAGTCAGATGTTCTAAACAGAATTTTTATAACCAAAGCCAATTAGTGATTTTAATGTCAACTTGATTTCTTAATGATGTTTTTGTTTTTAGCGTATGTTATGTCTAAGCTCTCTGCTCATTTTCGGTGAACTGAAATTGAATTAATGTAATGACAAAAGTTTACTCTCTGGTTAATTGGTGTTCAGATAAACTCAAAAGAAATTGATTTTTAATTATGGATATTCATTATATTTTAATTTATATAGAATTATTTTTAAGTTACTAAATTCTGTGACAAATATAATGTAGTTGAATGGAAAATATTGTGAGTGGAGCTATGTAACGCAGTTTATTCTCTGCTATCTGAATCACCATTAATGTTAAAACATGTTGATATGTATTACTGATATTCCAATAATTTGAGTATATTGTGCAGCCCTAATGGGTAGTCATTGTTCAGCTCCTCCAGTGCTTTCCTGCGCTGCCTTCTCAGCTGACCATCTCTGTGTCACAATGCTTTAAGCAGGGCAGTTTGAAGCATAAAGGTTCAGAGCAGTTATGTGCATTTGATTTTATGTAGCCTTCAAGTCATGTTGGAATGTATGTATTTATGAGACAAGTGCACATGAATGATACTTCAATGATCAGTGATACTTCAAGCGTCATACTTTTTAGCGGGAAACATTGGTTTACCTTTAAGCCCTGACCCAAATTGCTATTTGTTATAGTAAGTTGTAATTGTGAATATTGACTGTGCAATTTAGTCTGTGCGTTTTGTGTACTGTTGATGAGGAATAGCTATAAAGCTTGCTAGAAAATACTCATTTAGTCAATTTATGAGGCAGCAGACTTGCATGACAAACTGAATTTCCCATCATTATCGATGTATCATTCTTGTGCTGACACAGAGAAAGCATCAATTACCGACAAAATTTGCTCTTGTTTTTTTTTTTTTTTGAGTTACATTTTGAACCAAAAAAGCTTCCGGTCTTTGAAAAAGTACAAAAGAGAGCTTGAGTAACACATTTTATTCTGACCAAAATTACTTGAACGCACATGTTTGTAATTATGACTTGCAAACTCACAAGTAGGAACTCCTATGACAAGGAGGATCAAGAACTAAAAACGATTGTATAAAGCTGATTGGCATAAATTTGATTGGTCAGGGCTCAACAACAATATGAATGGATGTGAATATGAATCACAATCAAAAATACAGTAAGAACAGTAAAATTCTGAATTATTATACACATTTTAAATAACTGTTTTCTATTTCAAAATGTGATTTATTCCTGTGATGTCGAAGCTGAATTTTCAGCATCAATACTCCAGTCTTCAGTGTCACATGATCCTTCAGAAATCCTACTAATATGTGATTTGGTGCTCAAGAAGCATTTCTTATTATTATCGATGTTGAAAACAGTTGTACTGTTGAATGCGTCACGTAATCTGTCAATTACTGTTCGGGACTTTGAAATGCCTCTAAAACAGCTGTATCATACTAGCCACCTTTCTAATGATTTGCAAACTCTCTGTAATGCAAACTGAAGCGTTCAGCTGAGCTACACAGCAGAGGTCACAGGAATGGCATGTGACTGCTGGAGTCAACAGATCTCTGGTAATGTGCACCAATATGATGTACTGAGCTTGAGCATCTCCTCTGTCTGTTTCCCCCTTTTTCTCTATAGGTGTGGCCGTAATGGTGCTTTTGCTGTGAGGGAGAATTGCTCTCATGTCTTTTCTCTCTCCTGATGCCCCCTTCTACACTGTAAATTCATGATCACATGACTTTGGATATGGACGCGGTCCTGTCCGACTTTGTCCGTTCTACTGGAGCTGAACCAGGACTGGCCAGAGACCTGCTGGAGGGTGAGCCAAAACCATCCCGTTTCCCATTACCCCCTCTTCAGCTTTGATTCATTCATTTTGCTCCAATAGGAAGCAACTCTACCAGTCTTTTGGTAGAGATGGTGGGTGGCATGACCAAAATCTTATATTGTTGTACGAGTACTGTTACATCACTTTAACTATAACACAAAAAACAAACCCAAAATGTTTAAATATTACATTTTTTTTTGATAATCCAATCAATTTAAATGACAAGTTGTCTCTTATGTTCCTTTTTTATTTGAAACGTGATTGATGCAAGCCGAAATATTCACATTATGTAACACTTGAATTAAAAACAAGGCTTAAAACTTTATTATTAAACTGATAATTACGACACTGATGAATTCGATTCGAGTGAGCCATGTAGAATTCAATATGGCATCTATCCTAATGTCTTTAGAATTAACTGACTACAGGATGGAGAAAAAAAAAACAGTGGCTGAAGCGTCTATTTGAACATGTGCAACACAACTTTAACAAACCCAGCGCATGTTGCCTAGCAACACTGCAGATAAGAGAATGAGTTCAAATATACTGTACATACTGCAGTATGCATGCTTTACAGTCAGTACAGACCAATATTTGCAAAAGCTACTGCAGTGGAATGTGTCATTGAACCCTGCTGCACCTAACAATGTTGGGTTAATATTTAAAGTCCTAAGCAGAAGTGCAGTGGAACTATGACCTCTTGTTTACTTGCACACCTCTCCTCACAGGAAAGAATTGGGACCTCTCAGCTGCGCTGAGTGACTTTGAGCAGCTGAGACAAGTGCATGCTGGGAACCTCTCATGCACCCTTGCTGAGGAGAGAGAGTACCCCTCCATTGAGAAAGAGATGGCACGAACAGGGCGGTCCCTTTTGCATCGCCAAGATGAGGTTGTGCAAGGTAAGAAAAGCACTTGACTGCCTCTTCATGGCCTGACCTCAATTCTCAAACGGTGTTTCATAATTTATGTTAATGATTTACGCTGAACACTAGTTGCATATGATGTCATGTCAAGCCTTGCCCACTCTCACCTGACTAACATTGTTTTTCGAATCGAAAGGAGTGATAAGAATAGGTCGGTCAGATAATAGGTTACCAGTGTGTAGTTTCATATTCTCTGAACATGTATCATGGCAGCAGCCACGGAGAAGCGACTGTCGAGGGGGATCTCTCACGCCAGCTCCACCATCGTCTCTCTGGCTCGCTCGCACGTGTCGAGTACGGGCGGCAGCAACGAGCCGCTTCTGGACACTCCGCTTTGCACCTTCCAGTTGCCTGACCTCACCGTCTACAGAGACGACTTCCGTGGCTTCATCGAAAGAGACCTCATTGAGCAGTCTATGATGGTGGCATTGGAGCATGCGGGTTAGTCATTTTATTGATTGTCTCTGACAGACAAACCGAATATGTTTATATTACAACTATTATTATTGTAGTAGTTTTATAGTCAGATATTTATAACATGACATTTCTGTTAGCTGCATTATTCTCTTTTGTCTATTTAAGCATCCTGACTAAACTGTAACCTCATAAGTTAGTGATTTGAAATGCCCTACATAGGCAGAAACGCCATGTCATGCATATACTGGTCCTTATGTGACGCACACCGGAGTTTTCCATTAGCATGATACTATAATAAGCACAAAGATACACAGCACACACAAATAATGGGAAAATAGTCTTTTTTAAAATTAGATTTAACAATTTTTATTGATAGGTTTGGATTAATTATGAATCTAATCATAAGTCTATTTAATTGATATTTCACTTCCCGTAATGCCTACATAGGTTTTGGAACAGAGACCTATGCTGCATCTGAAATCACATACTCTTGGTGTTTCAAACTTCTTTTGAATAAGTAATTACTATGCGACTGTTAAAGTATGTTCAATTTGGGATGGATGTGTGTAGTGTGAATGTAATCTGGACATACTACATTCGTCATGTTAACTACCAGTGTCAGTTGCGTCATTTCCAATCCCTTCATGGGATAGTAGTGTCCATTAGATGTGCACTCGCCGGAAAAAGTAGGTCATCCAGGTATTTTTTGCCTACTGTTTTATGACATGCAACTTTGTTTACATAGTTTTTATTTTTTTTTATAGTTTGAAGTATGCGATTTCGGATACAGCCGTATATGTTTCCATCCACACGTTTTTATCCGAATTAAGTGATTTCGAATAAAAAATACCTTATGGAAAGAGTAAAATTTGATTGAATTTCATGAATATTGACTCAAATGAAATGCTTTCTGTCTCATCGGATTTTATCTTGCTCGTTATATGGCTTATGCGATAAACGCTGATGGAAACGTTATTTGCCGAATAAATAATGAATTGCGATTAAGTTTTAGGTCCTTTTATGGTTGCAACATGCCACAAAACATAGAAGAAGAAGTTTTAGTTCATTTCCGCCCAGTATTTCCGCTCTGTTTGCGCACACATGGTGGGTGTCAACAAAAACAGATGTAAGTGGACAAAGCAAAAAAAAAAAAATGCTTCAACCAACGATCCACGATCTCCCAGAACAGAACTCCATTGTCATCGGCATTTACGTGCATCTGCATCATCATAGCAAAATGTTTATGGCGTTGTTGTTTTCTTATTATAGCTTGTTATTACATGGCTTGGTTTAATTTTAACGTAGATTGCGGTCTTATTTCTTTTTAACAAACGCTGCTAAGTATGACACAGCGTTACCATGAAAAACAGAGCATTGCCATGGACGCAGTTCAGAGACGGAACGGACTATTTTCTTTAGCGGAAGCAAATCATTTTTAAATCAATAAACTCCTTTTTAGATCAATATTTTGTGTCAAATTATTGATTTATTTGGTAGGTAGCCCTGTAATAAGCAGGATAATATATAGCGAGGCAGTTGTTATAGCGAATACAACCCCTTCAGGCTAACAATAGCCTTGCTATACATCAGCTGGCACATAAGCACTATTAGGCTCCAACTTGTGCATTATTGATCATTTGTTGGTAGATGGCACGATCCATTTTGTCTAGCAAAACTTTGTTCGCAAATGTTAGCTTGAATGTTGTGCGATTGAGTGTGCGAGAAACACCTTAAAATGTCTCAAATCAATTGGATATACCAATTTGATCGCATGTGACGTCATTACGTACAGGTTTTTATTCGCTTTAAAGCCATTGGATGGAAACACGCTTTAACCCAGCTTTATGAGTTTTCTATGAGCATGAGTTTTTTTTACCGAACTTCAGATAATTCGATTGACAGCTATAGCCAAATGTCTATAGCCAAAAATATTTCATAGATTTGTTTTTCAACAGGACGATTGAACTGGTGGACTCGTTTAGGCACTGGATGTCAGAGTTTATTACCTCTGGCTACTAGTGGTGATGGGAACTGCCTGTTACACGCAGCCTCACTGGGTAAGTGTTCAAACTGACTTCTGATCTGCAAGTTTTTATACAGTTTTATATGGATTAATTCAAGCTTTCTGTTGGTGTTACATTTACCTCAAAGTTTTCAGGCTAAAGATGGTTTATTTTTCCTGAGATTTAAATCATTGAACATAGATGCTGGTTGATATGTCGATATATTAGAGTGGCATATTGAGTCCAGGCACTTTTAGAATGTTTTGTAACTGTTGTGTCCAAAACAACAGTAAAAGGACTGCATACTCGCCTAGAAACCACTGCCGGATGAAATCTTGGTAATTATGCTTAAAACATTGAACATTATAATGCAGGTATGTGGGGCTTCCATGATCGAGACTTGATGCTGCGGAAGTCTCTCTATGCACTGATGGATCATGGGCAGGAGAGGGAAGCTTTAAAGCGAAGGTGGAGATGGCAACAAACCATGCAGAACAAAGAGGTTAGAGCACTTTTGGTTGATTATTTTGTAAAAAAAAAAAAAAAATTGCAACAGATAATCAATTTGGTATCAGGCTCCTTAATTTAAATATACACTACCACTTTTTTTTTTTTTAAAGAAATGAATACTTTTATTTGATCATATAAATGTAGTCCTACTGAGCATAAGAGATTTCTATCAAAAACATTAAAGAGTCTTACTGACCCTAAACTTTTGAATGATAGTGTAAGTAGGAAATTTTCAGCCTAATTATGTTTATGTTTGTGTATCTGTGTGCAGTCGGGACTGGTTTACACAGAAGAAGAGTGGCAGAGAGAGTGGAATGAGTTGTTGAAACTGGCATCGAGTGAACCCAGGATACACTACAGCACCAACGGCAGCAACGGGTGTGTTGATTTCATTGATTTTATTTTCTAGATTGAAAGTTGTAAACAGGTTTTCTGGAGTGCTATGCTCATGCTGCGAGTGTGTTTTGTGTCCCGCAGTGCCGAGTCACAAGAGGAGCCGGTATATGAGAGCCTGGAGGAGTTTCATGTGTTTGTTCTTGCTCACGTGCTCCGTAGGCCGATAGTGGTGGTGGCTGACACCATGCTGCGGGACTCTGGGGGAGAAGGTAAATAAAGACAGAATATGAAATTTTGGGTGAACGATTCCTTTGATGAGGGTAGTTTGACGCACTTTGAAATAATCTAACATTCACAATGCAAAACTCCGTCCCTTATCTATTGAAGCCAAGCTGGAAAAATGGCTCCATCACAAATCCATGAGCACATTAGCATTCGGCTTGCTGCGTTACCAATGGTGTTTAGCTGCAACACCGATGACATCACTTGCCCACCCATGAAAATTTCCTTAGTCACATCCTTAATTAGCATATGACTGTCGCAGAATTTCAAAATGGTTGTGTAAAACTAAATTATGACATAATATAAGCTGACTTCAAGGGAGAAAAATAAAATGGCATAAGTGTTGACTATGTCCCATTTAAATAATGAATTTTCCATTTGTCGTTCCATTAACAAAGCATATCTAGGGCCCTATAATTTCCGCGATCACGGAATCGCGGAATTGGCCAATTAACGCGGAATTTTACATATTTGGAATGAAATTCGGTTTTTGTGTGGGAGAAGAACGTATGTCTGGGGAAAATGCAGAGAGACGGGGAAGCAAATCTGGGCGACACAACCCCTCCCGTCATTTCAGCTCATGACGGCATCAAAACAATAGCCGCGTTTCCACTGAAAGCATGGCGAAGCGGCTCTACACGGCTCCGCTTTTGTCGGCGGAAAAGTTAAGAAACTCGTCGCACACACACACACACCGCACACAGTCCCCTCCGTGCACGTCGGTCTATGAGGTGCCGGACCTAGTGTGTGTGTCCGAGTCAAGAGCGCGCGAGAGAGACGAGACAGCACGCTCAACAGTGCGCGCGAGAGAGACCGAGTGTGTCCGAGAGACAGAAGCTGCGTCCCAATGTTTATACTATGACCGAAATAGTATTGACAGTTATAATGTCACATACTATTTAGGATGGATAGTATGCACATTACGACGCAGCTAGTGTGACTTTTATTTTAACTTATATAAACTAATATAATTTATTTTTACAGGACAGTTTAAAGCTTGTTACTTGAAGTACTTAGAGTGCAGTGTTATGTTGCATCATGCAGTATTTGTCATTTTAAGAGTAAATGCCTATTTTATTTGTGTACATTTTAATCATTAACATTAAAAGCAGCATTAAAAGCTCTTTTTACAACTAAAATAACAGTAAAGGGTAAAAAAAAAAAAATGAATTCCCAAAAAATCAAACGGAAAAAAACGGAATTTGCAAAAATTAAAACGGAATTTGGGAAAAAATAAAACAGATTTTATAGGGCCCTACTTATCTCAGAGTTTGTCTCAGATCTCTCTCTCTCTTTTTTTGTCACCTGTTTAGCTTTCGCACCAATCCCATTTGGAGGGATTTACCTGCCTCTGGAAGTACCAGCCAACAAGTGTCACCGCTCTCCTCTCGTTTTGGCATATGACCAGGCCCATTTCTCTGCCCTGGTCTCAATGGAGCAGAAGGACTGTTCCAAAGAGCAAGGTGAGGAATGGTTTATGTGTAGCAAATCTGTTTGCTTTTTTATGTTGCATGCTGAGTGCTGTTCTTGCCTGATAAACCAGTTTTTCCAACCAGGACAGAACAAAAAACTGCAATAATTTATGCTTGCCAGAAAGTCTTTATCTGCTTTATGCAGCTTGTTTTTTTCAAAGGTCTTTATGGCTGTAGTCTTAAAAATTCAGTTGAATACAGAATTAGTTGAAGAAGTATAAATAAGAAGTGAAATGTGTAATTGAGAAAGGCATTGACCATTTGTTACCTTTTGTTAAAAACTTTCACAGTGGTGATCCCTCTGACGGACTCGGATCATAAGATGCTGCCTTTGCACTTTGCTGTGGATCCTGGGGAAGACTGGGAATGGGGCAAAGATGACAATGACAATGTGATGCTAGCAAGGTAGACATCACATTATACGTTTGATTAGAAAACGTGTATGTTACACTCAATGGACAACGTTTCTGATATGCTGTCAGTTACCACAGACAATATAATTTAGACTCCGTTTGGAAAAGAATAAGCATAAAATGTTTACAGTTAAAATGTCAAGTTTGAAGCGAGACATCCACTTTTTTTGTCAAATAAATTATTAGTAATTCATCCATGCTATTTATGTGTTTACACACTCTGAGGGAAGTTGAAATTATTCCCTTTAGTAATCAACAGCATGTTCTATAGATCCATAGATTTTAGTTTTAAACCTGGAACATTCTTGTAATTGCTGTGTGTTGTGCATATACCAAATTTGCCCAGAAAAAATTTTTTTTTTTTAAGTATTCAAGTTATTTTTACCATGTAGTGCCAAATGACTCAGCTCTGACTTATTTACAGCAGAGTTCAGTAATTCCTGACTGTAATGAAGGCATTAGCACTGTGGAGCTTGTTGGAACTGAGCACTGTTGGTGTTGGCCAACACTCAAGATTAGCAACTCTTGTTCTTTAAAGCAGATTATTGCTAAATTCTTGCTATGAATGGAACACAGAGAGGCACTCAAATAGCTCAGGGTTGCATCATTCTGTAGTTCCCTCTTATTTCCACAATTTGAAAATTTGTCAATATTTGATGTACTATTTTAAAATATAGTCTTTAAATACTTGTTTTTTACTTGTGCTAATGTTATTTATGCATTTTTCATGAAATATGCACATTCGTTTACTTTGTTTGCCATCGTTTGAACAGCACTTATAAGTGAATATCTGCACTCTGACCTGCCTATTGTTTGGTTTCAGTGTAACCTTATCTCTGGAGGCCAAGCTCCATCTGCTGCACTGCTACATGACTGTCACCTGGCTTCCTCTACCCTGTGAGGTACAGGTGAGCTTCTAGCTTGCTTTGCCGTGCTAATAATTTAGCTGGTTTAGTTTTAGCTGTTAACCAGAAACCTTTGGTTAACTCTTTACTCTGACAACAGTGCATCCAAAGCATTTTTATTTTTAAAAATCTTAAAATTATTTTTTTGGATTAAACTGGCATGGTGTTTCCCGATCACTTCCCATACCCCAATAACAAAAACTTAATTATGTAATGACAGGGATACTTCCTAATTCTTTGTTCTAAAAGAAATTGCAAATTGTGCATGCACACCAAATGATTTTTCCTGATTTTAATACCTTTATACATGTTTTGTATTAAATGTATACTTTTTTTTATAAATGTAATATATTTGATGATTATATTATTATATACAAGTTCAAAAGTCATTTCAAACATGGAAGCAAAATGTAAACGGAAATGAATTTTTGCTTCAATTAATATTTGTTTTTATTTTTACTTCAAACTTGAAATTAATAGACTCTCTCTAGGGTTGTGACGATACACAAAACTGGCACAAAACAAAGGGTTCGGTTTTCTCACGGTTTTGACGTCTCGGTTCAGTTCGGTTCAGTTTAGAAAGCTAAAATTGCTTTTTTTGTTGTTTTTTAAACGGTGGTTTATTGGGAAAAAAAATCATTGTCTTTAAATTAATAAAATTACAATTAAACGTTTCACAAGGATAAAAAAAATCTGCTAATGTTGTAAACTATATAGGGAGCCGCACATTACTATCACATTAAAGGTTGTAGCCTAGACTTTTAGCCAAAATTCAGATGCTGTTTAATTTTAGATATAATAATCAACACACAACACATTGTATGAAAACATGTAAACTGAACATAAGGCAGTTTTTGTTACCTAATTTGTTATTGAAATATAATATTTGGCACAGTGTCACTTTCATGAAAGATATCAAGATATCATCAACAGGTTAAGGAAAATATAATATATAGGCTAACATAGTGCATTTATTTAGAGGAAGAGTTCATTTATAGGAACCAAAGTTGTGGACACTAAATCACTTGCCTGTTGAAAACCATTGAATGAAAAGTCATATTTGAACCTGTCATTCAGATTTTGTACTGTACTCGTACTTGTATTCCAGCTAAATCATCAAGTGACAATAATTTTTGTTTTTTATCCACAGCAGGCCCCATTGGCCCAGCCAGAGTCCCCTACAGCGTCTGCAGGAGAGGATGCCCGCACCCCGCCAGACTCTGGAGAGTCAGATAAGGAGTCCGTCAGCAGCAGTTCTAATGGCAATGGGGACAGCAGTACTACTGGAACCAGTGGGACAACAGGCAAAACAAGTGGTGGATCTTCCAGCTCCTCTAGCTCATCCAGTAACAGTTCAGCAGGGACGACTGGCACAATTGGAAAGGAGAAGGGGAAGAAAGACAAAGAAAAGGATAAGGACAAGAAACGTGCTGATTCCGTTGCCAACAAGCTGGGTAGCTTTGGCAAGAGCCTAGGCAGTAAGCTGAAGAAGAATGTGGGAGGCCTGATGACGGGGAAGAACGCGAGTGGAAGTGGAACCAAACAAGAAGGTCTGGAGAAGAAGAAAGGCTCTCTGAGAGGTCGTAAGGGCAGTAAGGACAGCTCTCCTTCCATTCAAACCGGCTCCGAGGACTCTGGGAAAGGTTCACCCTCCTCGATAAGTGAACGGCAAAACGGAAGCTACTCTTCAGAAAGTGACCCTTTTAAGTACAGCTCGGATGTGAAAGTGAGTCTTAGCATCCTCCGATCCGCAATGCAAGGAGAAAGGAAGTACATCTTCGCTGCCGTACTCACTACTAGCAACCGTCAGCCGTTTCAGGAGGAGATGATCCAGCGATACTTGATGGATGCCGAGGAGCGCTTCCGTGCCGAACAGGAACAGCGGAGGGAAGCTGAACGGAAAGCGGCAGGAGGTCTTGCAACAACTAGTGGATCTCAAGTGAAAAAGGACGGGCCTGAGCTGAGCTACCGAGGTTTTGAAAGCAGAGAGGAAATTGCTGATAACTCGCCTCCTACTTTTAACGCGTTGAAGTCGACTTCCTTCAGCCCGATGATGTACTCGGGTGTGGTCCCAATCCCAAGGCCCACCTTCATTGACCATTCTCCTACCCCAATTACACAGCATCTACATGTGCACGGTTACATGGATACGCGACGGCAGTTGGCAGGAGGTTCGCCGTCTTCTTACCCTGGCCTACCATCCTATGCCACCTTGCCCCGACACTGCCCCCTAGCACAGGGCCCTCCCCATTCCCAGTACCACCCCCCTTCCACCAGCTTGGGTAGCCCATCCCGTATCATCACCCCCTGCCTGGCATCTTTTTCCCAGGAGCATGACCCAACTGACTACCCAACCGAACCTACCGGAGGCTATACAAATGGCTTGCGGGACTTGCGCACTACTTTGGACGTTCGCAATGGGCCGATGCCTGTGAGGCATTACTCCTTGGGCAGTGCGGGTGGCCTTGCAAACCTGCAGTCCAGCAGATGCCGAACGCCCACCTGCAATTACTACGGCCACCCCGAGACGGGCAATTACTGCTCGTACTGCTACCGAGAGGAGTTGAAGAGACGGGAAACAGAGCCGGCCATCCACAGGTTTTGAATGGACAATCTCTGTCCCGTTTCTCTCATATAGGACTCATTGGAGCCCACCATGTGAGCCACATCATATCCCGTGGGTGTGGATCTTGCTTTAAGACATAAGATCGGCCTTTCTGAACCAGGTTACTGAGACTCTGTCCACAGTGAATGGGCATTGCGGAAATGGGACTGCTGTTGTGTTACATTTGCTGTGGCTCATAGGCAGGAGCTTTAAGCTCCTCACACATTTGCTTGACGTGGTCATCCTCTAACCTGTCTCCTTGTCTCCTCCTTGTGGTGAGAATGTAGAACACGGGACATTTGAACACAACACATGAACATGCTGCGTAGCGTACCCCAAAATACACGTTAAGCACAACCAGAAAATGCGTATTTATATTAGCTGCAATTGATCCATTTATATCAGCTGCAATCAAAATAAGACTTGCCATATTGCGAGCGCAAGGCAACAACACTCTGTTAGCTTCGAGTGTTATCCATTTTACTGTAACTTGCACCCCTTTTGAAGCCATACTTAGTTGGCTTAAGTTAGCTACTATGGTGCTTTCTCGCTTCTAAGATGCGAACCTTAACAGACAAAGGGTTCGTTTTAGGTCTTTATATGCCCCGATTAAAAATTGCAGTCATCTCCGCTCTATTAAGTGTTTCTAGAACATTTAATAGTGCAAATCCTTTAAAATTAGCGCAAAGAAATCCCTTTGGAAATGGTACATCGCGTGGTTGTATTCAAGTATTATGTTGGTAACATTGATATAATAGTTCTAGGTACTTGCTGGTCAAAGGGGGCGGATGTTGAAAACAATTTCTGACCTCTTCAAATGTTACTGCTGCACCAAATAAAATGGTGTTCCTTTATGATATTGGGGTTAACGCATCAGCTTCCATCAAATTCACTGGACACAGGATTATTGATAGACGCAGTATCGCCCCCCCAGAGTAGTTGCTGCACCAAATCAAGCACTTTTCTCATGTCCAGAGGTTGTGCATGTGGGTTTTAGATGAATAGACTGTTATGTCGCTGTGCTTCTAGTCTGGCGGTTTGCTCCATTCTGGAGGCAGAGCTTGCGGTTCCACTGCGGAGGTCAGGGTTCGGCTGTAGGTGCCACTGTGTCGTGCGCAAACTCACTTGTTTCCTAGTTGCCTTTTCAGTCTTAGTTCAGTCCTCCCATGAGGACTGTTGAACTGAATTTCTACTTTTGTTTGGTTTTGGATTCACAGTGCTGATTCTAGTGTTTTCAATGTTTGTGGACGTAGAGGGATTCTAGCAGATCTCTCGAAACTATACGATGCACCTTGAGTCGAGGTTTTGTGACAAACGCTTTCGAAATCCTTTTACACTGTTAACAGAAAACACGGCCTCTGATAAAGCCAGTTGTACGAGTCAGCCAGAAATGGAAAATACTGTCATTTTACTCTCTCTTGCATGCAGTTCAACTTCAAAACCTGTATGACTGAGAAATAGAAAATTAAATTGTCCATTTTCCATACAACGAAAGTAAACGTGAAGCATACAACTTGTGCAGTATATTAGTAATAGGCCATAAGTTATTATTAACACAGTGTTGCCCTCCGCTCATTTTCGGACATTAGTGAGGAGGACAAATACTTGTGGACGTGCGAATGAGATTTTGAGGGCCACGTTGGACTGCGAACACATACTCCATTTTCCTTAAATCTTAGTGTCGATTCCCATAGCCAAACACGTCTGCCCGTCTTGTGTGTTAGATCACAATAGGGAAGGTCCGTTTTTGCTCCATTTGAACTAAATGTTTAGTTACACCATTTTGCAGAGCGCCCCATTCAATTTCATTATGTCTGGACATTCTGCTAAACATCTCATTTTGTGTTTGACGGCAGAAAGAAAGTCATACAGGTTCAGAACGACATGAGAGGGAGTAAGTTAAGACAGATTCTTTATTTTGGGGTGAGCGATCCCTTTACCCTCTCATTGCTCATGTGAAATGGGCTCTTTAATAGCACCACAAGAGGATGTTGCTGCTGTGATCATGTTCATTTGATGTGGGTAAGTGTTCGTTGTACTGCAGATGAAGAGCTGTCGTCGTAGCGAACCGAAGCACTCAATAAGCGTAATCAGTCGTGTGCAAATATTTGTTTAACTGTGTCAGCTCAAGGCCACATTTGCATTACTGATTTGCACAATTAAAAATATGTCAGGCTAGTATCTTAACAGTTACAACATACCTCGTTATATGGTATCTCCCGTGTTTATCTTATTCAACATTTAATTTTAAAGCACTAAATTTCCTATTACCGTCCAGCAAGATGGAGGGTTAATGGCTTCATTTTTTTTTTCTCCCCAAATGAAAGCGATATATTTTTGACACATTATTCACTCGCATAACCAATAGATGGCACACTTGTTTAGGTTTCTTTTTCATTATCACCCCTATTTCTACTAGTGACCTTTTGAGACTGGCTCAGTTTTTCAGTGTAAATAAGGGACAAAGAGTACACTGCTGCTGCTTTTTATGTTTGTTTGTTCTTTTGTTGGTTTCGTTTCGTCAGGCGCATTTGAATATAAAATGCAAGCAATGAACTTTTTTTTTGTCTTATGGAAGGCATTTGCCTAGATTTCCACTCTTATAAGTCGCAAAAAGGAATTCATTGCGTGTGTGTGTGTGTGTGTGTGTCTGGTAAACTGTGCTTTTGCAAACATATTGCAGCTTCAAGGCACAAACCAGAGGAAATTGTCAGCGAAACGACAGCTAGTCTCCGTTGGAGTTTATGTTCTCCTTCCGATGTACTCGTAGTTTGCGTTTAACGGATCCATTTATTTAACAAATGGAAAGGTCATTCAGCCACCCCGAGCGTTGGACTTCAATAAGAGTGCAGACATTTTTGTATTAAGAAATCCAAAAAAAAAATGTATAAATGCGTTCAAGTTATTTTTGTAAATCAAAAGCAGTTTTCCAGTGTTTTTTAAAGATACGAATGTATGCTGTAGGACCGTTCCCTGAGTTGACGTCAGCTGAATCGATGGTGGAGTCAGTATTCTGGGGCGCACGGCGCTCGTACGGAAGCCTCTTAAATCGGAGAGTTTCTTGTGAACAAACTCATTTCTCCATCAGTGTGATCTGACGAGGTATGATTTGAAAATATATATTTGTAGTAAGATTTTTCAAAAGACTGGGATGTTTAGTTCTGAAACTAGGATGTTCTTTCTTACATGGCTAGTTGTCAAACAGACGGGCCTCCTGACGTTTCCTAATTTCTATTTTAAAGCGAATTATGCTACTTAATCACCTTTTGAGTACATTTTTTTAACGATGGTGTTGGTGGCGGCCGTCCACCATCAGTTTTCAAAACACTAAAATTCTCTTATTTAATATACGGTGGGCTTTGTTTTGTTATGACGTAGCTTACTTACTATTTTTATATGGTATGTTTTCATGGATGTGACAGAGCTACAGTCGTCAGCATTCTCGAATCTGCATGAGACTGAAACTGTTGCATGTACAGAACTGGCAGATGCAATTTATCTAATCATATTTGTGCATTACTTCTGGCTAATTTGGGCGATTTGTGTTTGTTTTCAGCCGTTTTACCTTTCTCTGTGTTTGAGAGGTGACCCCAGGCTGTGTGACAGTGCAATCTAGGTGGAAAGAACATCTGATTTTTATGTTAGTTTTATTTTATTTTTATTTTATTTTTGCACCGTTTTAATAAAATTCTCATTGTATTTAAACAGTTGTTTGTACTGATTTTATCTTCCACTCTTCCGCTCTATACATTTGGCTATATAGTCTTCGTAATAAAAACATCTTGTATTTTTACAGTGGTGCAAGCTTTCTGCTCTACAAGGTTTCCACAGTCATGGAACATTTTTATGGGAATTAGTAAGGACTTAATTTGCAAAGTAATAAAAAAATAATGGACATTTCTCAATATATATAATATTTTACTGCTTTTATAATCCAATAATTTAATGCAACCTCAATTTGTTTCCAGTAATCCCAATATCCTGCAGTGCTATTTTAATATCACTGAGATTTTATAGTTTTTATAAATATTATGAATCATTTTTTTTTTATGTTTCATTTTTCAGTAATATTTGTATTAGTTTTTGTTTGTATAATTCTCTCTCTATAATATATATATATATATATATATATATATATTAGGGCTTATATATATATTAGGGCAACGATTAATCGTGATTAATCACATCCAAAATAAAAGTTTTGTGTTTATATAATATATATAAATGGGGGGGGCTGATATTTTCACTTAGGCCACGCCCCCTTGTCTCTATTATAATCGATCATGCGCATCCCGTGTGCAGAATGATGCACTTGAAGCAACACCAAGTCACAGCACGCAACGCTTCACATTGAAAAGAACATAGCGAAGGGATTAGATCTATAATATGCTTAGTAGGGCTGGACGATTTGGGGAAAATGTCATATTGCCATTACTGAGGTCAATATTGCAATTGTGATATGCGATTCCGATATAATAAAATGCTTTCATGAGTCCAACTTGCTTGGTTCTAAAGTAAAATGCACACACAGATTAGTGATCATTCTGTGTATTAATGTTTATTTCTCAACTCAAACTAAAAACAACAACTAAATGATTGATAACACCTATAATGATCAATAAACCATCAACCAAACCATCATTACAGTGAAAGCTATCAACTTTTTAAAAAAAATTATTAGGCTAAAAAAAATTTTTAACAACTTTTAAATTAAGTGAACTTCAAACAATCCCCACATAAACCCATAATAAAAACCATATGCCCTTCCTGTCTTAACAGGTAGGATACAGAAATTGAATAAAGTTATCAAACAGTCTGCGCTGCATGAATTATAAATTATATATAGAATAATCCTTATTAAAGCTACAAAAGTTCTTTAGTCAAGATCAGTGAGTAATTTTCTAATTTCCCTTTGTTCTTTTAACTTGACTGACAGAACGCTTTATTCGCTGCTGGCCCTTTAAGAGCACCCGTTGCCGAGACGCGGATCTCACATGCGCCTCATAGCACAACTCTTTTCGTCCATAAGACTTTTCTTACGTTATGAAGATACTCGACAAAACGACATTTTGGCATAATTGTGTGTGCTATTGTTCGTTCAAGCTCGAAAGAGAACTGTATTCTGGCACGCGTCAGTGCATGCGCATTATGGCGCGCGTCTTTCTGCGAGTCTCATTTAGGGCATTCACAGGCAGCTTTTCACTTCTTGTCGTGCAAAATGCGAAAAGGCATTTGCACGAATAAGAGCGGGATCGTGTAATACTAGTCAAAGGATGACAAAAATGAAGAGATGCTGCGTTAATAGCCCTAATTTGTTTATTTCATATAAAATCGCGGCATTTTGCGTTATATAATTGCATAGGTTTGAGATCGCTATTACGATTGCGATTTGATTAATCGTGCAGCACTAATGCTTAGTGTATTCTATATGCAACAGTTTTTTGAGCCTTTTCTTTTAACAGTTTTAAATTTCAGTGCGCATGAAGAACAATAGCACTCTCTCGACTCTATGCTGCAATCTCACATACACCCGGGAGAAGGGAATGTGAAAGGGCAATAAACTCCACTCCAGCAAGATAAAGTCATTTTATGAAAACCATCTACTTTATGCTTTATCTACAAATAAAGTATAATAATGGGAATATTGACCTTGAAGAGAGTGTCGTCGTGTCGCAAACGAACGCGACGCGCTGAATTCTGAATGAAGAATGACTGAGGCGAGATGACTTTCCGTTAACTTTAACTTAGCGACTAAAATTACACATTATACAATGACTTTAGAAGTCTTGGAATATAGGGTGAAAACTTGATTGTGCTTTACAAAGTTTTTTATGCCTTTAGTGGGGCTTAACAAAATAACATAATACTATGCAGAATATCGGACGTCACCGAGAAGCTGCAACCGTGGCGGGAGGATTTTAAGTGTGGCGGCCCGCCACGGGAGAATGAGAGGAAACACTGTACATATAGTATATACATGCAAATATTTCTTAAATATATTCATGCATGTGTGTGTGTATTTATATATACAACATAATTATACACACCACACACACATATATTATGTAAACACAAACTTTTATTTTGGATGCGATTGATCGTTAACGAGATATATATTATATAATAATATTTTTTACATTTTTTTTTTATAATATTTTTTACATTTTATATATATTAATATATATATATATATATATATATATATATGTGCTGTATATATTACATTATATTATTTTGTGTTTTCAAGTTTTAGTTATTTTGTCAAATTAAAATGAGATATCTTGCCTTGGCAACAGGCCTCGGATCCAGTCACTGAAATGTGTAAGCCCCGAATTAACCCTGAATCAACCCTGAAACACATTAACAAGAACAAAAACCATAGCCATAAGCAAGCATGCAACTTGCTTCCTCAAAATGCAGCTGACATCATTTTCTTCCAATTGTTTCAAAAATGTGTAAAGTCACTGCAAGTTAAAGTCATTTAAATTTAATTCCCAGAAAGCACTGCCTGCCATTTAAGACTGCTAATTACCACAGCATGTGATCTTCGCCTTGTGTCACAGCACAGTTAACAGGGTAAAGAGTAACTAAAGTTTACTCTCACCAATTAAGCTGTATATTGGATTATTGGAAGCTCGTTTGCCTTCATAATGTGAGAATATATACCTTACATTTTAGTAGTTTAGCGCTCATTTGTCTCATGTATGAGGTATTTTAATGGGCTATTTCTTGTGAGTTCTTTTGCTCTAATAAATTCAAACTCAAAGTGAGAGTCTAATGAATTAGTAATAGCAACACTGATATCTTTGGGATCAGTTTTCATTTGTTTTTGCTTTGCAGGTATCAATTTCAAGAAGCCTTTTTCCACACAGTGCACACCGCATCAGTTCATATCCGTCTGAACGCTGATGCTGCTCGCACATCATCGGCTGTCTGGTGGAGGCTGCTGTGAAATGCTTCATTGATACTGCAGTGACAAGGTAACTGAGTATTACAAGCTATGGGAATGTCAAGTGTGTTTGCTCATTTGTGAATTTAATATGTTTGTGTGGATGGGAATTATGGTGCAGCGGTCTGAAATATCCAATGGCATTTCTTTGCATTTAGATGCATTGGTAAAGCATAGAATAATAATACCCAAAACGGTAACACTTTACTTGAAGGGGTGTGTATAAGACTGACATGACGCCTTCATAACCATGACATATGACATATGAAGTAAGGTTTATGCATTGTTATGACAGTGTCTTTCACTCAATAATGACATTTTGAAGGCAAATATGACATTGTTTGAGATGTCTTTGTTATGACACCTTGACATAAACCACATCATAACCTGTCAGTGCCATGACAACTTGACATAATATTAAGTTAAACTGTCATGTGTCACAAACATGAAACTTCCTCCTTCATATTCATAACAGATTATGAAGGTGTCATGTTAGTCTTATGCACACCCCTTCAAGTAAAGTGTTACCATCAAAATGTTCATTAATAGGCTTGCAGGACGTTTAGATTTTTTTTTTTTCTTTATCATGCAAAACCTTTGCATGAATTGGAGAATGGCGTAATGTTTGCTGGTTTAGCGTTTAGACCTCTTAACCTGACTAGTGCTGAGTATTTTTTCAAATAGTGTGATTTATGAAAATAATTGGACTTTATATTTTATATAGTATAGGCTACTTACGTTTCTAGTCTATTTGCATTCTCTTTTTAATTTTTATTTAACGTATTGCTAACTTTGTATTAGAGCAATTCTAATGTTATTGATTCCTTAAGTTTCCTATCCCCGCTATTATTTTAAATAATGATAGATTTAGAAATGTATCTGCTTGCTAAATGGATGTAAGTGGAGTTAATACAGTTTTTAAAATAATTGTATTGATAGCTTAAGGAGATAGACAAACAGCCCAGAACAGACAAGAAAATTGACATCTTTATTTAAATATTGTAAAAAAGAAAAAAATAATTTGCTGAAATATTTTCTAAGCCTATTGCATAGCTGTGCACTACTATTTTTTTTTTATGATGATGCAATGAAACATGCCAAATTGTGTGACCATATCTTTTTGGTATCATTTTTGGCCAGGCTGTCATACAAGAAAATTATGAATGAAATATGAATAACTGATCGTTGTTTGTGTTTTGCATAGTAGACAGACAGATGTAGGGATAGATAGATAGATATTCTCAAACTGATATATATTCATAAACAAACATATTCTATACTTAATAATTTAGTCAAACAAATATATAAAAAATAATTTTCTGGCTCTGCTTGGAATGGCATAATGGGAATTGATAAGGTCTTCATTTTCAAAAATAATAATAAACAAAAAGATAATACATTTTATTAATAAATAAAGTTAATAATCTGTATGCTTGCCTCTAAATTATTTCACGTAAACTGATCTTTTGCAATCTCAATGATGTCATGAATTAAGAGTCTCCAAAAAAGACATGGAAATAGAATGGAAAAAGACTATAATATTTTTCCATATTATAATACTATAATAGGGGGGAAAGGAATATAGCTAATTTTGAATGGATGTCAAGGGAAAAGACGCTTTTCCAAATGATGTCTACCAGTAGGGGCTAACAGGGCTATGCTAACCAGCCAAACCTGACTTAACCCCTTGGAATGACCTGTTATTAGACAAGCAGATGTTAATCCATCACCCTGTAAATGATTGTTCAAAAACGAACGAAGGACTTACATTTTCAGAACTGTGTACAGCACAAATAGTAGGTCATGGGTGTTTCACACACAAAATGTGCAAGCTATTTTTAGTAGGCTGTGCATACTGTGTAAATAGTAAGAGTACTACGGTAGTATGCGACTTCGAGGACAGCCACTGATGGAAGCAGTGCACAGAAGCACATTGAGTGTGTTTGGCGGGACTGGCCCTTTAAGAGCCTCGCTCCTGGTTTTTGTTACTCAGTAACACCCGTGTCGTTTCACTATGGCGAAGGGGCTGTAAACAAATGCGATGGAAAAGCGCGTTCTCTGTGTGAATATAGATTTGCTTTAGAGATGATTTGACGTTTAGTTGGATATGTTAACGGTACGGACGCGGAAATGTGTGAAAGTGATGCAGACAGCGCGCGGACCATCCGATTTCAGTAACATGGACCAGATCAGACCTTCACCACTAAACCTCTTCCAAATACACCATAACTGTTAGTCCGGATCCGTTTTAGGTTGAAATCATGTTGACAGGGTCCAAAACCACCTTTAAAGTGAGACAGATGGTACCGGACATGAAGGTAAGCGTTAAGGTTAAATAATAATATAACTAGCTATCATTTATTTATGAGTTTATCATTGTTTTCTCATGTCCGCGGTGTCTAATTCGTATTAAAATAGTATCGAACACATCTGTGTACATTTTACACATTTCATCTTTCAGTATGTTTGTAACAGATGTGTAAATGTTTATGTAGGCTAATGTTTGTGCAACTCTCATGTCAAATGTGATTAGTCACTTTCCCGGGTAAACTGCATCATCAATCCATTAAATTATTTTACCAGAAACACGTTTAATGGATGTGTACACAATCTGTAGTTGTAGGAGTACATTTTCCATCCAAAAAAAAAAAAAAAAAGTTTAAACTTTTCCAAGAATGACTTATTTTGTCTGGTGTATGAATGTCTCCAGCACTCCTCCAGTGTTTAGTATTTTATATCATATGCTGTGATTGTTAATGATGGAATATACTTTTTCTATCCGTACTGTATTGTTTTTAGAAACGCCATTCGCATACTTTCAGTTTATTTTAGCAAAAACTCTGGTTGAGAATCAGTTTTTCCATTGAGAAATGCTCTTTAAAAGCAACAGGAAAGCATACATCTGCTTTAGTGGTGAAGTTATGTCTGGCTGTTTGTATTTGTTACTTTTCTGAAAATTATACAGTCTAAATCTGTTTGAACAGAGGATTACTTTTTCCTTTTTGGTGTGCCTTTTAACTCAGGGTGTGGTGGGTACATTTTTTGTGATTTCATTCATGCATTTAGCATGCTCGAGTCATATACACATACACTCTTTGTCTTGATATTTACTCATGCATTCATTTACTTACATTTACATTTACCAGTTTAAATTATTTCGCTTTTGTTATATGGAAGATCTTCTATGAGAAATCAGACTTTCGGCCTAACATCTTCTTTGTGTTTCATGAAAGAAAGAAAATAATGCATTTCTGATTGATGACAGAATGGTAATAATTTCTGGGTGAACTAATAATCTACTTTCCTTAGTTGTATTTGTAATCTGCTGGTGCTCACCTCTGCTGCATGCATAAGTTTCCCCTCTGGCTATTTTAATCTGGCTGGTGGGGGGAAACGCTAGCAGATGCCTCCACTCGCGGATTCTGGAGAGCGTAGAGGCCCTAATGTGCACAACATCTGGCTGTTGCCATGGAAACAGCCTACCCAGAAGTCACTTGGTGTGTGGATTCTGAATATGCATTGTGTGCAGTGTCAGACATGTAATCCAAGTGGCTGTTCCCTGCACAGAAGATGAATCCGAGTGTCTGAGTGTGTAGATGGTGTCAGATTTAGTGGATGGAGCCCACCCAAGCTGACGCATTTGAGAATGGGCCGACCTATATTTTGCTCCAGTGCTGTAAATGAACAAATGGAAAAGGAATTGTGAATGTAGCAGTTGTGGCGAGACTTCACCGCATTGGCTTTTTCATTTAAAACTCATTAAACCAGCTCAAACCAGCCATAACAGTCATCCTTCAGACCAGTGTCGGTTTGTCAGGGGAGGCGAGTCTGCCCTAAATATTGAGGTGGAAATGGGAGGAAATTTGAATGTTAAATAAAATTACAGGTATTAGTTTCATTTCATGTCTCAGAATGTGAATTTCTGGTTGTAGTTACATTATTGTAACACCAAAATAATACTAAAGTCAGAACCACCGCTGCTCTTCCTCAAACCTGCCGAATCTGCCGTTCGGGAAACTGTGCTAAGGCCAGTCAAAGGCAAAACGTGTAGACGTACTACATCTGCCATTTTGTTACTGTCATGTGACCTACTAGTTATGTCGCTTCAGTGCTATACATAAATACTCCTAATGGGATATTAATGTGTCCATCGAATGCACATTTCAGAAGTAGGTCATCCGTGGACTTTTCACGTATTGTTCTCGCATAGTAGCACTGTAAAAAAATATTGTTGGTTTAACTTAAAAAAATAAGTAACCTGCTTGCCTTAAAATGTTAACTTAATTGAAATGGAAAAATTGAGTTAATACAGTAAAGGAGATTAATTTAATCACCAGAAACTCAAAATATTATGTTATTTGAACTACATAAATTATCTAAGTTGATTTGACGAAAGAAAAAATGTTGTGATTACAAATCATGAAAATGTTTTTTTTACAGTGAGGGAAGTATTTGATTGGGGATGGCAGCGTTGGTACTTATAGACACCATTGGTAAAAAAAAAATAATAATAATAATAATAGCCAATAACCATTGAGTGTTCAGCATTTAGAGTTATGAGAAAAAATACATTGCAGCTAGCCTCATCACAAAGGCTTACATCACAAAGATGTAAATTATGTGATATTAGTTACAAATTTACTAAAATCGTTCGAGCAGCAGCTGCATATTAAAAATGAAGGAAGACTCCACACACAGAGGTTGCAGTTGGACATATAGGCTAAAGCAGTCAGCTTCACTGAACAGACGAATCAACTTCACCAAATGCCGAATAATATGGACGTTTATTTTGATAGGCTAGGTGAATGAAATCATATTTATATTTTCTTGCAAAAAAAAATAAAAAATACTCAGAGGTGGAAAGAGTACTGAAAATTTGTACTCAAGTACAAGTACAAGTAGTTGCTAAAATAATACTCGATTACAAGCAAAAGTACTGGTGTTAAAAATGTACTTAAGTAAAAGTACAAAGTACCCCTCTCAAAAACTACTCAAGTACTAATTACTAATTACTTTTAGTCTGTGATATTTATTTACTTTTATGGAAACCAAGTTATAAAAATGGTCTAATATGATTATTATTATTAATGAATTATAATGCAAAATAAATAAACTTATTGGGTTATTTTATTTATAAACTTCTTTTTTTCTTTTCTTTTTTTTTTTTACAATAAAGATTTCCAAAAGTACCCTACTAATATTTCAAAAGTTTCAAAAGTTATCAGCATTTAGCACTGACACAAATGTGCCATCTAGACAGACTGACAATCAGTGCAGTTACTGTTATGCCAGTGGGTCATGGCCGGCAAGATACTGTTTTTATGAAAGAGTCATTATTAAACTCTTCATTCTAAGCTTAAAACACGGATTCAATATTAATAAAACATTGTGTTGACAATGACATACAATATAACTTTTTAATCTAAGTTTACAATGCTAAATCTTTATTACGGTATATGTGCTTGTCACCTGAGTAATGCTGAAGCTCAAGTTTCAAGTGATGTTTTTAGTCAAATTATCGTGAGGTCTACCCAACTTTAAAAAACGAAAACAACTGAAATATCACATATCACTGCAGAAACAAAGTTTCTATAAAACATCTCCTTTCCTTCCTCTGTAATAAGAACAGCTCATGGGCATTCGTCATCTGGTATTTCTTCGGAATTTTCAATGAATTCAGCGTCTCGAATGTCCATGTCCATTACGGCAAAGTTCTTCGATAACACTAAAATACAAACTGAAGGACGTGTGAGGACGAATATAGCTCTCCAGGAACCGGGCTTTTTTCCCACTCCAAATACAAGGGTTTTTATTGGCCCGCCCACTATCAGTTATTTCCATTTGATACCCAAATGCTGGTCAAAGATTTGAATAATTGTTGAATTCAAATTGTACAAGTACTTTGTAATTTATGGCATTTTTAAAGTAGTGAAGTACATTACTTAACTTAATTTGTACTCAAGTACAAGAAAAATTACAGACTAAAAAATGTACTCATAAAAGTACAAGTACACAAAAAAACGACTTAATTACAGTAATCTGAGTAGTTGTAATTCGTTACTTCCACCTCTGAAAATACTCTGTAGAGGATTCCAGACCGCTACAATTAATTTGCATCCTCTATTTTAAAATCCATGAGCCGACACTGTTTCAGAGTGGAGTTTTTGAGTTCTTCGAATGGGAGTCTTGGGATCAGCCTGTTTGGAATGTCGATGCTTTAAAAAATAAAACTATAAATATAGCTTGCTGGTTCCCCTTTGGGTCAAAATGCAAATATACTACTGTAGGGTGACTTCCTAGATCAGAAATATCTCCCTCATTGTTGCTTTGATTGGTTTGGTTTGAGTGGAGTACGCCATGTGGCGTATGTTAATTCAGTTTATGTTATTGAAGTGAATGCCGTCATCTGGTTTTGGTGCGAGATGAGTGGTTGTTTAAAAAAGGGATTTGCCGAAGGTTTGTTTTTTTAAAAAAATACTTAAATTATATAAAAAGACGGTGCATAACATAAACAAGACTGTGACACACCCTCTAATTGAACTTGGAGCTTTTTCCTGCACTGCCTTTCCTTATGGGACATCGTAATAAGCTCCATAAAGAGGATGACGACACTAAGCTTTGTAAGACAAAAATAGCTGGAATAGTGGCAGATTGTGCATGTAAATCTAGATTATTTTTGCAAAATATTTTTAGTGAATGACGTTGGCCCATTCTGAATTACTGTCACAGTTCTATGGTATTGTGGGTGTTGCAAAGTGGTTTTTAGTAAGTTTGGTTGCTAGGGTGTTCTGCTGGCCTAAGGTCTTTAGATACGGATCCTTTTTGTGGGATATTCTTCCCCTTTGCTTTTTTTATCGTTCACCAACCGAAATGTACACTACAGATCAAATGTTTGGAACAATTAAGGTTTTTGATAGGCATTTATTTTGATTGTAAATACAGTAATGACAGTAATATTGTGACTTTTTTACAATTTAAAATAACTGTTTTCCATTTTGAAAATATTTTAAAATGTATTTTATTCCTGTGATCAAATCTGAATTTTCAATACCATTACTCCAGTCTTCAGTGTCACATGATCCTTCAGAAATCATTCTAATATGATTATTTGCTGCTCAAGAAACATTTATTATTATCAATGTTAGAGCCCTACCGATAAAGGATTTTGAAGGCCGATACAAATATTTTTTGGGTTTTAAAATCCGATATTCCGATATATCGCTGATATTTTATTTTATTTATTTATTTTTTTAAACTGGAGATGATTAGTCACAAATTTTGTCATGCTTATTTGCGTTAAGTGAACTGATGGGGATGTTCTTTTAATTGTTATTCAAGCAATATATGTATCGTGACCAACTCAACGAGTGTTGCCAACAGGAACCGTGTAGAGTGCCCTCTGGTGGACAAACTATACAACTCCAACACTCATGACATGGTTCAAGCGTGTTTCGTCCGTTTTTTTTGTATTTTTGAAATATTCTTTTATCGGCCATTATAACTGCCGATACCGATAGTTTGGAAAATGCCTAATATCGGCCGATAATATCGGTCTGCCGATATATCGGTCTGGCTCTAATCAATGTTTTGCTTTACAGAACCATTCATAAGTTTAGGGCCAGTAAGAGTTTTTTATACATATAAAAATAATGTAGTACTTTCAGCAAAAGTGACAGTAAAGAAATGTATAAGTTATAGTTGTTTATTCATTTATTTATCAGTATTTAGACTGGTTTTAGTTGGGAAATACAGAAAGGCAGCATCATGACTAAGACAGGAATGATTTTTAATTTTAGCTATGTTTGTTTTTTAAGAAACTAAAGAGAAAATACTTCAAACGTTTTATGGAAATGGATGCATTGTTCCCATTTGTTGACATTTCTTTGCTGTATAGAGAATGAGAGATGCACACATGGAGTGCATGAAAATAATGAGCGCTGAACAATAGCCCAGCTCTTTTAAGCGTCCCACCGGGCCTCTATTGCCTCATTTAGCTCTAGATTGATGCCCTGCACAAAGGGTTATTGTGGCTCTGGGCGATGACTAATAAACTTAACAGTGTAAGGTTTATACGGTGGCATAGTGCATCCACACATTCCCACTGGCCGTCCTGTTTCTGTGTGATTCAGGGGAGAAGAGGCCTGTATGTTCCCTCGGCTGCATTCTCTGGCCACAGAAACCAGGGGAAGCCATGAGCAATGGAAACTGCAATGAGTCTTGGCTGCCTCTGCCCTCAGAAGCTGAGAGGAGGGAGGGATTATGTGTTTACTGGAGAAGAAAGAGGCAATGAAAGAGATTACACGATATGACCATGTGATTCGGAGAACTGAACCCTCAGCAGAAATGTCCTGCACTGATTACATGTTTATTCACTTCCTCTGAGATGTTAGGTTCACTGGGATTCACTGGGACTGTCCAGTTCACTGGGATTTTTCGAATGCATTATGACTCCTGTCTGCAAATATGTTCCTTTAGGAATGCTGCAATGCTGGAATTTAGATTATGGGCTCTATGCACGGCGGTATTTCCGGTGAAGGTGTAAGGATGCTCGATAACTTCCGCCGATCGTAGAGTAGTCCAATGCAATACCGAGAATTTATATTCAATTTTATACTCCATGGTTATACTAAAGAAACGTTAGTCACAAAAACAGATGAAACAGACACCCCTCGTTGTGTTTATGCTTCTTTTTAAAATTATATGAAATAAACATAACTATATATAAAATTACATCTAAACGTATGAACGTTTCATTTCAAAGACGGGAGGACAGTACATTTTGAAGACTCTGCCATAATCCCGTTTTCCTCGGTTTTCCTCCGCTTTAATCTCCACAACCGGAAATGGACGAGCATCCTTGCATCAAATGCGGAACTTATGCGTGCATATAGCCCATTGGAGTAAGTTTGGAAGGAGAAAAAAAAAAACATAAATACAGATGCAATCGCACCAAACCTGAGTGTGAACACTAGGGTTGGGTATCGAGAATCGAGTATCGATTGGAACCGGGACTAACTTTTCGTTTTTCCCGGAATCGTTCAAAAGTTAAAATTTCGATTCCTAGTTTCGATATTCACAAAAAAAAAATAATAAAAAAAATGTTTCGATATTCACAGTCCGCCGAGCGGAAGAAGAAACCGCTGAACAACACCAACGAAGAAGCGTCTACCGGAAGTGTTGGCATAACCACGCGAGTCGAACATGAGTAGCTTACGTCGGCGATCCAAAGTGTGGCTTCACTTTTCTAAAAATAACGAAATCTCGGCAAAATTTGTGACAAAAGGAGTATTTTTACAGAAGGAGTATTTCCTTCAGAAAGGCCGTTGGTTCGCAAGGTTAGCTAAACTTTTTTGACCCTGCCTCTTAAAAGAATCGGAATCGAGAATCGTTAGGAACCGGAATCGAAACAAGGAATCGGAATCGGAATCAGAATCGTTCAAATTCAAACGATACCCAACCCTAGTGAACACACACTTTCAAAAACAAACTCCACTCCAGAATTATGTTAGTTCTGAAGGTCAAACACAGTATTAGTATGGTGTTCCTAATAATCCATTAGTTGAGTGTACTGTATATCTGAATTTCAGCTCTGGAGTCTTCCTCAGCACACGGTGATAAGAACAGTGAAAAATCGCATCGGTTTTCAGCGCGAGTCCTTCTCCTATTGAACTGTATTTAAAGTGGATTTGCAGTGCAGAAAACAGTCATCTCAACATGTCGACAACACGAACTAAACTCTTCCAGGCCTCAGCTAGTTATGTAGTTCACGGGCTGGCATTGTGCAAATTTGTTATGTAGTGTAAAGAGAAATTAAATTCAACTCATTATACAAGCATAATACAGGCACTTTAATTTAACTCTGAACTTTTGAGTAACTGCAGTTATTATGTGCATGATGCAGTCAGATGCTTCTGCTTCAAACTCTCCATCGCGGTGTGTTGGGAGCTGTGGGTTCAGATCTCTGGAAGTATGTTATACTTCTGTTCTACTCAGTAGTGGATGGCAAATGAAAGACGCTTTGTTTTAAAACGGTACGATAACATCAGCATGTGCAGTTTTAGCCTCTTGTAAATGAAGGTACTTTTATGGTTCAGTTGCACTGTGGGGAAGGAAACCTGAAAGGGCTATTTCGACAAAGAATTTAAATATAGAAACAAACCACCATTGTGACCAGTGAATATTCATTTTAGACCCCATTTCCTTTTACACACTATCAGAAGGCATAAATATTCTGAACTTCCTGAACTATATGATTTGGAGTTAACTTTACACAATATATTCATCTCAAAATGCACAGTTAATCCACCAGTTTTGTAGCTTAATTTGTTTATTTTGTCTGTTTGCTACAGGAGAGGATGATGAGCCACAGTAGCCTTCACGCACGGGGGAGAGATGTGCTCGGCCTCTGCTGTTTACCAGGTGAAGTCTCACAATGCAAGCTTATTTTTATAACATTGAGATTTGTCAACAGGATTTCCATGTTTTATCTATGGGGTTATTTTTTGATAGTCATTTACGCAAGCATTCAAAACTTTCATATCAGTGAGATTTAATGCTTTTTTTTTTTTCTTTTCCTTATTTTTTTTTTAAGTCGTGCTCAACATGGTTGCATTTATTTGATCAAAAAGACAGTTAAAAAAAACATTTTGAAATTATTCCTGTGATGCAAAGGTGAATTTTCAGCAGTCTTCAGTGTCACATGATCCTTCAGAAAACGCTCTAATATGTGGATTTGCTCACAGAACATTTCTTATTTGATCCATTTTTAAAACAGTTGTTCTGCTCCATATTTTTGTGGAAAACACGATCAACTTTTTTCAGGACTTTTTGATGAATTGAAAGTATTTACTAGAAATAGAGATATTTTGTAACATTATAAAAGTCTTCAATGTCACTTTTGATCATTTTAATTCATCTTTGCTGAAACAGTAGCTACGTTAACACGGACTCATTTTGTTTCAATCTAAATTAATTCATTCCGATTGATGAATCTGAACGTAGTGTTTACACATCAATGCTAAATAAAATGCTAATGCTAAATAAAATGCTAAATAGGGCGCTAAATGATCGGGATGATGTGTGAGTTTAGATGTCACAAGCTTAAAATCTGAACTGCAAGAACATACAGAATTGCTTTCTACATTGCTTCTTTTCATTGTTTTAAAAAGCAGACTTAACGCCATCTCTCAGAGTCATCGTCCAGCTCTGTTCAGTTCTCATACTGCAGTGTCAGATCAATAATATTGTTGAATATTAAGGGGAATATTCTTGGAGAGTGTGTTTCTTTAGTACAACGTGACATCCGAAATCAGTGATGTAGTGTTTTGGCATGTGACTCTGTTACACGGTTTTGAAAACCCTACTGAAAAATGCTTTGCTGCTTTTAGGTAGTTGATCCCAAAAGGAAAGCTCCTGGATGGTTGTGGTCTGCGCGGGAGAATAACAGTCTGTGTGTGCGGGTGTGAATGAGCTCAGAAAACAATCGCTTAGTGTGCCGAGTGTGTGTCGTACCCCAGCAGCCCCTCACCATAAACTCAGCGTCAGCAGTGTGTTAAAGCAGCAGCTTTACTCAGGAATGTTGGCAGGCCGTGAGTCTGACCCAGACCTAATCTGTAACGCTTCATATCAGCACTTACTCTCAGCGGCCCTTCAGGAGCATAGAGCGATTCCCAACGCATCAACTTTTAAAAGAGCCGCTACTAACCTCAACGCTCTGCTCACACACGGCTTAGTCTTTGTTGTTATTCAGCTTTCAGAGTCCAAACGCACACACCTGTCTGTGTTTTTACTCTTTACATTTGTAAAATTCTCAAGGGCATTTAATACGGTTCCCCAAAAAAAACGTTGGGCATTAAACGACACTTTTAAATGTCTAGACTTCTAAAGCTATTTCATTATTTTTTTTTATATTTTATTTTTATGTGTATGTGCATGTATGTGTGTATATATGAAGAGTTCAGATGAAAAAGCCTCTAAATGCCATTTGAAATTTTCTTCTTTAACGATGATTTTTATTAAACTTGTATATTTAAGTTCAGTAATTTCACTTAAATAACAATTAATTGCCATTTAAGTGAAATTACTGAACTTAAATATACAAGCTTGATAAAAATCATCGTTAAAGAAGAAAATTTCAAATGGCATTTAGAGGCTTTTGCATCTGAACTCTTCATATATGTATGTATATATATACACACATACACAGTATTGTATATATACACTACCGGTCAAATGTTTTAGATCAGTAAGATTTTTTATGTTTTTAAATGAAGTCTCTTCTGCTCACCAAGGCTGCTTTATTTGATGAAAAAAAAATTACAAACAGTAATATTGTGAAATATTATGACAATTTAAAATGACTGTTTTCTATTTTAATATATTTTAAAATGTAATTTGAATTTTCAACATCATAACTGTTGCTGATTACACATCAGTTTTCAGTGTCACATGATCCTTCAGAAATCATTCTAATATGCTGATATTATGCTCAAAAAACATAAATTATTATTTTCAATGTTGAAAACAGCCGTGTACCATTTTTCCCCAAAAATTCTATGATGAATAGAAAGTTTAAAAGAACAGCATTTATTTAAAATATAATCTTTTTTTAACATTATAAATGTCTTTACTGTAACTTTTGATCAATTTAACTCATCCTTGATGAATAAAAGTATTTTCTAATTTCTTTCCCCCAAAAATAAAAAATAAATTCTTACTGACCCCAAACTTTTGAATGGTAGTGATTAATGTTACAAAAGCTTTCCATTTCTAATTTTTTACTAATTTTTTAGATTTTATTGCTACTCAAGGAGCTCTACCTGTTGGATTGATATCGTTTGTGTCTGAGAGAATTAATGCCAGGCAAAAATGCACTCATTACACGATCACAGTTAGATACATGATGCGTTATATATATATATATATTATACAAAAATACAGGTGGTCCATCCACAGTGGATATGGAGCGCACACACACCGATTAACCATTTGGAGACAAAGGGCTCACATTGCAGATCGCATGTGGACACACACGCGGTCATGTGTAAGTCTCGACCTCCATCCACACGATCTCTGATAACCCTCCAACGCAGGACAGAGGAAACTGAATCGGTCCCTGGGGGTGAACGGGTCGGAGGATTTTGAAAGAGTAGATTATTATACTGTATGACTGCTATTCAAAAAGATATACATGTAATGCAATGATAAATTATTCAAATATGTAGTATGCTGCAATGCCGTAACGTGACCTTATGTTTAATTTAGAGAATGGCATCCAGTTAGCATCTCAGAATCAAAATGAGTCTTTTTCTGCCAACTGCACTGCATTGTGGGATGCACTTTATTTTTGTGGAGTGCTCTGGTTGTACTGCTCATTTAAGCACATGCATACAGAAAATAACACTGTACACATCCTGCATATTGCTAAAATAGTATGGGTAGTATTGTAGTATGCCAGCATGAGATACGGTTTAATTGTTTTGTAGAGTTAAGTGTGTTATTTGTGTTGTAGGGTGGATGAAAAGAAAGGAATTAGTTTGTTAGCAGTTTCTGCAGCAGATGGTATTATTTAGCTGCGGTAGTGTATTTTTTTTTATTTGTCTTTGTGGTTTATTCTTGTAACTGGGACAAAACCCAATAACCCCAATAAGTTCTGAGTTCTAGCAGCAAACCAGCTCAAAATGACTGACAGGCAGGGTTTTGTTATTGGCTAAACTTTTAGCACATGTATGTGTTTACTTGATTATTTATTTAATTATTATTTGTTTTTATTTTAATGCATTTATTTATTTATTTTTACATTTATTATTTAATTTTTATTACTTTTTGATGTTTATTTAGTCATATATTACTTATTTTTTGTTTATTACATATTATTTATTTGTATTTTCTACCCATTTAATGTATTACTTATTTATTTATTTTTATTTATTTAATTTGTATTATTTATTTATTTTTATTTGTTTATTTATGAATTTATAACTTTATTTATTTGTTATATTTTTGTTATTTATTTTAACTTTATTTTTTTTATTTAATTTTATTGCTGTTTAAGAGCCCAGGACTGTGAGCTAATTATGTGAGGTAGGGACATTTTCTGTGTGCTTTTCTATAAAAAAAGGTCTTGATCTTACTGCTTTAAAGTCACTGTAACCCAGTCCTACTGGTAAACACTTACCGACAATGTCTTAAGTAAAAGCTTTTAAAATAGTAAGATGTTTCCTCTTTAATAACTAGGGAATGTGAGATTTGGCCTTGATGGACATGATGTGACATCATTCGGTAGCCTAAAACCTTGAAAGAGAAATCAGGCTGATGTGAATCTGAGAGGTATGATTAGCATGGCTGTGCTAGCGCACGCTACTCTTGCCTGAAAGTGAAGGCTAATGGAAAACAAATGCTGACAAAAACAAATCAAACAGGATGTGTGGTTCAAATGAGCACAGTAGCAAATCTGAAACTGAAATCATTAGTATTATTTATTATGATAGAAAGAGTTTAATTTTGCGCTAAATTAAGAAATTTATCTCAAATGCTAATACATATTATCGAGGGCTTGGAGCCAGAAGGGCGTTAGTGGCTTTTAACAAACTTTACAGGAGAGACAAAACAAAATTTTTTCCACGCTTCAATCACCTTTATTATTAACCTTAAACCACAGACATTGCAACCACAGGCATACTTACATGAAATGAGTATTTAAGTAAAAATGTATGGCATATTAACACAATGAACATGTTCTAAAACATTTTCAAAAAAAAAACCAAAAAGTCAAATACGTCAGATACGCCTTTTTGTTGCTTTATTCAATACAGTTTAATCTCAGATAGGTATTTTGGCACCATTGGATAGAGCTCATCGAGACCTTTATTTTGATATAAAGAACATATTCGCCAAAAATGCCACTTACGCCCCTCTGGCTTCAAGCCCTCGTTATATACTATAATGTACATTCACCTAAAGGATTATTGAATCAATGCCCCGTAGAATTAAGGCAGTTCTGAAGGCAAAAGGGGTCAAACAGTATTAGTATGGTGTTCCTAATAATCCTTTAGGTGAGTGTATAATACTTATATTAATATTTTGAATGACCTTTCATTTTATATTTTGAAAAAAAAAATGTTCCATTTTAGTAATTTTGTTGTGATTTTGCGCATTTTTATTGTTTTTACATTTATCTTTTAAATATTTTCTATATAGCTAGTGTATATTTCAATATTATATATTTAAATAATTTCTAAATTGATTCGGCCATTTTTATTAGTTTTAGATTTAGTTCAAAATAACAACTATAAAACAGTTATAAGCTTTGTGGTATTTATATTTTCAGCATCCTAAGCACTCTGTTTTTCTAATAGTCGAATAATCATCCGATCTCTCTCTGCTTCCGTCCTGTTCTCTCCGACATCTGCGCCCATGATGCCTCAGGAATGAGCTTTGAGGTCCAACGCCCCCTTGAGAGTCATAACTCGCTGTTGCAAAGTGACCACAAGAGCAATCAGAGCAACCCGACTCATTTCATGTGTTGAGAGTGTGTTCATGCCTGACGGCTTTAAGAGGCTCTACCAGCATTAAACTTCTGTCCTTTGTCTTATTTTTTATTATTGTGTGAGTTTTATGTCAACAGACTCATAATTTCCCTCAAACTATTTTTGAAATGCCACATATCCTTTATATGGCCTACAGAGCTTTTGAAGATTGTCTTTTGAATAAAAAAACAGATGTTATTTCCACATTTAGTCACACATTTTCCTGTTGTTATAGTAAACTTTAAGCAGTATAGATATCTCCAAGTTAACAGTTTTTATCATGTGCGTGTTGGTCTTCAGGAGAGTGTGTGTTGCAGCGGGCCATCCTGGTGAGGAAGAAGCTGACGGCTAAGGAAGGAGGAGGCTGGCTGTCTGGGACTCTGTTCTGCACTCATTTCAGAGTAGCCTTCGTGCCTCAGGACAGCCAGAAACCTGACGTGAGTGCCACAGATTGCTGAGATGTTTCCGGAATGAGAATCCAGGCACTTCTGTTTTTCATGTAAAGTTGAGCCTTACTGTGAACTGCGAAGTGCTTTTTGCCGTTTACAAAGTCTCTGGCAGTGGAGTGTTGCATCCTCTGCAGACATATTTATCTTGATGGCTTCTTTTTCTTAGGATAATGCAGATCCAGTGCTGCTGGGAGATCATGACGTAGCTCTCGCCTCGATTGACAAAGTTGTGGCAGGTGAGGCAATCTTTACAGATGGATAGATAGATAGATAGATAGATAGATAGATAGATAGATAGATAGATAGATAGATAGATAGATAGATAGATAGATAGATAGATAGATAGATAGATAGATAGATAGATAGATAGATAGATAGATAGATAGATAGATGGATAGATGGATAGATAGATGGATGGATGGATGGATGGATGGATGGATGGATAGAAAGATGGATAGAAAGATAGATAGAAAGATAGATAGAAAGATAGATAGAAAGATAGACAGATAGATAGATTTTAACCCAATGTTTTAATACATTTTAGGGGTTGAACAACTTCAGATATTTTTAAGTCAACATTTATGTGATTAAAGTCGAGTTGGCATCGACTAGTCGCTGTTGATGCCATTAATGAACAAATAAGCCTGAACCTCGAGCTGAGACTCGAAGGTAGGTTGTGTTGGACACTTTGGGTTGTTCTATTTCTCACAGATTTCTGCTCTTTCTAAATCATATACAGATAAAGTAGCAGAGTAAAGATTGCAATTTTTTGAGTGCATTAGTGAGATAGTGATTGAGTGTGAATTAAAGGAGTAGTTCACTTTTAGAAAAACTTTTGCTGATAATTTCCTCACCCTCACATATTTATATTTAATATTTATATTTAAACAATATGAATGTAAGCCAGAGGAGAACTGGCCCCCGACTGAGACTGGGTTCTCCCAAGGTTTTTTCTCCATCCAATCTGATGGAGTTTTGGTTCCTTGCCACTGTCGCCTTGCTTTTGGCTTGCTTTGAGCTTGCTCAGTTGGGGTTATTTATTTAGTGTTTAGCAATGTTGTTGATCTGTGTTGTGCTACTTACATGTTATCACTGTGAAGCTGCTTTGATACAATCTGTATTGTGAAAAGCGCTATATAAATAAATGTGACTTGACTTGACTTGACCCCCATGTCATCCAAGATGTCCATGTCTTTCTTTCTTCAGTCGAAAAGAAATTAAGATTTTTGATGAAAACATTCCAGGATTTTTCTCCATATAATGGACTTCAATGGGAACCAAACGGTTCAAGGTCCAAAAGAGAGTTTCAGTGCAAACTCCAGACGATGAATAAGGGTCTTATCTAGCGAAACGATCGCTCATTTAATAAAAAAAAACAACAACGAAGTTTAAGTTTTATAAGGTCAAATGCTCACCTTTCTCTGTTCTGTGATGCTCGTTCGTGACTCTCCTGTTCAAACTCGATTCATCAAACGAACAAATCTTTTTTTGGTGTCATTTGGTTCATTCAGCGAATGAATGAGTGATCATTTCGCTTGATAAGACCCTTATTCATCATCTGGAATTGTTTAAAGCCCTTTGAACAGTTTGCACTGAAACTGTCTTTTGGACCTTGAACCGTTTGGTTCCCACTGAAGTCCATTATATGGAGAAAAATCCTGGAATGTTTTCATCAAAAACCTTAATTTCTTTTCGACTGAAAAAAGAAAGACATGGACATCTTGGATGGCATGGGGGTGAGGAAATTATCAGCAAAGTTTTTTTAAAAGTGAACTACTCCTCAGGGTCTGTGCAACCCTTAATACATAGAAATGTCTGTTGTAGTGGGACCGTCGCGCACCAAGCTCGTGACCCCTACCTGCACCCTGAAGTTCACCCCGGAGGAGCTGGTGTTGTACTGCCGAGACCTGCGTGTTCTCTGCTTCCTGTTCGACAGACTCACACCTGATACTCAAGCTGTGGAGGTTTGTCCTCAAATAAGTAAAACTGTAAGGCTAGACACACACTTCTGTTAAAGTTTGGGGTCGGTATGATTTTAAAAATGTTTTTTACAGTAGTCTCTTATGCTCACCAAGTTTCAATTATTGTTGGTCAACAAACTAATGACTGCCACTCTACTTTAACTTGCTTTCAGATTACGTATACCATTGCTAAAACCTACCAGCCACTGAAACCTGGGACCATCATCTCTTTCCAAAATGCTGCTTTGGGTAGTATTGGTGAGTTATATTAATCAATGCAAACAAGCCACTATGACACAACAGATAACAGCACGAGAAAGAGAGAAAATCCTGTTTATAGACCGTTATAGATATACATTTTTGCTGATCTGCAGTTCCCTGTTCCCTGAAGGTTTTTGCAATGATTATAATTTAGACAATATGATCTTTTTTACATTTGACACTTTTTACATTACATAGTCATTTGAATGTGACCTATTCCCAATGATGCGCTCATTAACAGATGTCTTCAACTTGTAAATTGAGAGTAAAACTGCTTAAATATTTAGGAATTTCTCGTTCATTTCAGTAGTTTTTGTCAGGTTTTGAAGCATCAGCAAGTGAAGAAATGAGTTTCAGATCTGTATTATAGGAGTTTTAAAAATGTATTAATAAAAGTATGTGTATGAATTGAATGTCTTAATAAATAAACAGCAATGCATGTTATTTACAAAGTATTATTATACAGATGAATTCTCATCATTTAGTAAAAATCAGTGTGAAAATGAACTAAATACATGATTGTGTTTTTGAAATATTTTGAATCTACAATTCAAATCTTCGCTATATATATATATATATATATAAATCCATTCATTTTTTTCAAGCGATTTCAGGGCAAAAATACATAAATATTGTTATAATATTGAAAATAGTTATAATGTCTTAAAATTATAAAACTAAAATTAAAAAAAATTAAAATTATAAAATAAAAATTAAATTATAAAAAATTTAAAATAATATTGTAATATTGAAAATAGTTATATTTTCAAAAAGCTGAATCATTTTGAAATATAATCGTTTTCGCCCAGTCCTAGCTGTGTGGCCCTCGCATATTTGATATTTAAACGAATTATAGAAGGAAATGTGAGCCAAGCCACATCTCTGAGAAGGAAAGTGACCGTCAACCAGATGAATAATGGAAAGTAATCTGAAACAGCTCACCTTCTAGCCCTTTTTCAACCTTGTCAGGGTTTGTTTGTAGTCAGTTCATGTTCATTGCACCAGTCCACTTGCTCTCCAGTGAGCAAATTGAGTTTGCAGCTCTCGGGAGGTTTTGCACATAAACCTGATCCAAACGTTTAATGTCTCTCTATGCTGTCTATAGAAATGAAGCAGTTTCTAAGCAACAGGCGGCGTGACCCTACCATGAACTGGTTCGAGAGTTCGTTAGGTTGGGAGCAGGAGCTGGAGAGGACAGGTGCCACGGGCTGGAGGGTCAGCTCTGTCAATGACCGCTTTGAGATGTCCACCAGGTAGAGATCCACTTTCAGACCCCCCTGTGCTCAGTTTAGTCCTGCACTCTAAAAAATGCTGGGTTGTTTTAACCCAATTTTGGGTCAAATATGGACAAACCCAAAATGCTGGGTTAAAAATGTAATGTAAAAATTTAACCCAACGGCTGGGTTAGTCCATATTTGACCCAAAGTTGGGTTAAAACAACCCAGCATTTTTTAGAGTGTGACATTAGAGGGTGTTTTTCCGCTTTTTAGACACGACTGATGTTCTGTGTAAAAGAACAGGTTACTGTGAAATGCTGTTCTCACACATACTCTCTGATGAATAGCATTTGGTGTGTTGCGTATGCAGATAATTTACACAAGTGGATGGAAAAAGCTAAATAATAATAGTTATCATTTGAACATAACATGGCACACTTGCTGATTTTTATATGCAAAATAGTAAAGTTATATAACAGCTATATGTACCATATGGGCCGAAAACCTATTTTATTAATTAAAAAAATGATTTTGTACACATTTTTTCACAGTCAATTGTTATATTTGTAAATGATTGAACATGTCAAATTGTGCAGATGTAATTTTGGCCAGGCTGTCATACAAAGAAATTATGAACACATGCAACAATAATAAATTAATAACTGATTACGTTGTAGTCAATGTACATTTTTCTGCATAAAAATATAACCTGTAGCTGCACGTTACCCGTTTTTGCCAAATAATTTGGTCCGATAAATACCCTAAACAAGTTTAGTGTTTTGTTCTTCCTTCCTATTTAAAATATTTTAAAATATTTTGATGGTTTACTTGAACTTTGCGTTATACACTTTTAAGTTGAAGTTTGGGGTTATTTCATTCTTGTAAAGAAATTAATATTTTTATTGAGCGAGGATGCATTAAATGAACCAGAATTGACAGTAAAGACATTTATAATGTTACAAAAGATTTCTATTTCAAGTTGATGCTGTTCTTTTGAACGTTCTATTTATCAAATCCTGAAACAAACTCAAACAACTGTTTTCAACATTGATACTAATAAGAAATGTTTCTTAAGCCAAAAAATCATCATATTAGAATGATTTCTGAAGGATCATGTGAGTAATGATGCTAAAATGCAACTTTAATCGCAGGAATAAATTAGATTTGGAAATATATTCAGATAGACCGCAGTTATTTTAAATTGTAGCAATATTTCATAATTTTTACTGTTTTTGACCAGTCCTGATGAGACGTCTTCAGACATTTAAAAAGATTTAGTATCTTCTAGTGTAAACTTAGTCTAGATCTATTTGTGCCTGCAAGTACAGTGAGCTCACCACATAATATCATGTTTTCACAAGCATATCCAATCATAATCGCATGTGGAAACTGCTAACGCTTGTTTTCTTCTGTGTTCTTGCAGTCTGCCCAGATTCATTGTGGTTCCTCAGAGGGTCCTAGACACAGAGCTCAAGAAAACATTTGCACACTTCAATGAGGGACGCATCCCAGTGAGTTCATTCTGACATGCCTTTACAAAACACCAACCCTTTAAACACAACATGAAATTAAATATGACATGGGATAAGTATAAAATCACTATTTACGTGTTCGATGAATGTTCCAAAATGGAATGTTCCTAACTTTTGTTTTCATAATACTTTGTATTGTTATCATAATCAAAATGTAAATACTTTCTACCAAGGCTGCAGAGCAAGGCAACATTATATAAACATAAGAATAAAATAAATTCCTTCCCAACATTTCTCACAGAACATTGTTTCACTTAAATTTTGTGTCACATTGCTTGTGAATTATGTTTCATGTTGTCCTTAAACTAATAGTTTATCCAAAAAATAAAATGGTCAGCCTGTACCTATCCTCATTTTGTTCCCAAAGTGCATGCTATTTTTTCTATGGAAAAAAGGGAATGTTTGAAGAAATGTTCACAAAGCTCTTTTCTGGACATTGACAGTTCATAAAGAGTAAGTGTGTCAAGCTTCAGAAAATACCTAAAATCACCATAAATAATACAAATGACTTTAGGAATAATAAATGATCCCATAATTTACTCGCCCTCAAGCAAACCTATGTGTATACGATTTTCTTCTTTGATCAGATCATTATCAAGAGTTAAAATTAAATAATATCTTGGCTCTTGTAAGGAGTTGTTGACGCTCCAAAAAGTGCAAAAAGTAATCTATACAATACAACTTCAGTGGGTTAATAAATGCCTTATGAAACGAAGGGATGCGTTTTTGTAAGAAAGGAAAAGTTAATGCTACACCTACGTCCAACGTCATACTTCGGGTCAGAGGTCTCCAGAATTCGACTCTCTCAGAAGGCATTTATTAACCTACTGGAGTAATACATGGATTACTTTTATGACGCACTTTTTAGAGCTTCAAAAACGTGGACACTATTCAATGCCATTACAAAGCTGGGAAGAGCCAGGATATTATGTGTTCGTCAAAGTGAGCTGTTTAACATGGGACAGTTTGGCTGTTCTACTGAATGTCAAATGTGAGTGTTTTTTTAATATAATAAATAATTGAACCCCCCTCAGCGATGGTGCTGGCGACATCCACGTGGCAGCGACTTACTACGAATGGCCAGCTTCCAAAATAACATCTACCATGAGAAGGATGACATCAGGTTTTTCATCATTTCTAGATAACTTAGACATCCCTTAGCAGCAGTCAAGCATCCATCGCTGAACAGAGCTCTTCTCTGTGATCCTCAGGAACCTGGAGTCGGTGCTGTTTGGCGGTCAGCAGCTGTGTGTGATTGTGGATCTGGGAGAGGAAATGCCATCACCCGCAGATATCCAGCTGGCTCACACGAGACTTCGGACTCTTTGTCTGGGCGGTCAGTACTTTTAGTTGATTTTTGATGAACTGATGATGATAGCCTGGTGCAAAGGCCAGCTTACATTTCCAGACTGGTTTATGCTGGTTGTTGCATTTCCAACTTGGTGATGCTGGTTAAAGGGATCGTTCACTTTTAAATACATTTTTGATATATTTTAGCTTACCTCAAGGGTAATTTTACACAATATTTTCAATTTTGATATTTTTTGATATTAGGTCAAACCGTTCTTGTCTGTCAGTCATATAATGGAGGTATATGGGGTCCACCTCAAAGAGCATGCACAGAGAAGTCCAAATTAAACATGATTTAATGACTCGTAAGATATAAACGATATAAATACTGTTCGTTCTCTCACATAAATTGCTCGTTTCGTGTCTTAGGCCATCAATGCGTACTTACATTTACGAGTCATTAAATTGTGTTTAATTTGCATGCTCTTTGAGGTGGACCCCATATACCTACATTAAATGACTGACAGACAACGGTTTGACTTAAAAATATCGAAATTGAAAACACTGTAGAAACAAAGACACCTACATCTTAGATGCCATTGAGGTAAGCTAAAACATATCAAAAATTAATTTCAAAGTGAACTATCCCTTTAACCTTGATGGATGCAACAGCACATCAGCATCTAAAACAGGGTTATTTAAAGAGGTCCTATTATGTCCTATTATGTTATGTTGAAACTCGTGGTTCTGGTGAGGGGTGTGATATTTCCCAAACACGCTCAAGGCAGTTGACCAATCACAACACACTGGTCCAGCCGACCAATCAGAGCACATTGCGCTTTTCTTCACGGAAACTAAACAGAGCGTTACTGACAGACTGGGAAGAAAGAACCTGCAGCAATGTCGTATATGTGAAAAATAATGTGTTTTGAACATTCAAGCATTCACTTATTCTAGCAGACCCCAAAAACAAAGTCTGCGCATAATATGGCCTCTTTTAAAGAAATAATTCGCCCCAGAGTGAAAATTCCTTCATTTAGTCAGTATGTGGTTCCAAACTGAGATTTATTCACTTTTTCTAAAATGTCTTTCGTCATTTGTGGTTAAATGGTGTGTGACTGCGCAACAGCTGTTTAGAGACTGGAAGACTTGAGTGGGGATCTGAAGATTTTGTGTACAAAGGTCAAGAGTTTCTATTGTTTAAAAAAATCAATTTTAGTCTTACAGAGATAGTCGTATTGTTTTGTCTGGCTTCACATTCCTTCTGTGGTTGAAGCCACACTGGCCATGTAGCATTCTTCATAGTGGTGCGAGTTCAAAGAGCAGCTCGCACAATCCCACCACAGACTTTTGATTCTCCACATTTTTCTGGAGTGCTCGGCATTTTTGCATTGTCAGTTGCGTGATACAATAGAATGCTGGAAAATTCCAATTGGTTCAGAGTAGAAGGTGTGATAAACTAGACTACAGATCTTATGGAAGCTTATTTCTGCCACAGAATGGAAAATAAAAAAGGTAATTGCAACTTTTTATCTCACAATTCTGACTTTTTTTCTCACAATTGCGAGTTTACATCTCGCAATTCTGACTTAAAGTCAGAATTGCGTGATATAAATTTGCAATTGCATGTTATAAAGTCAGAAATGCATGATCTAAAGTAAGAATTGTGAGATAAACTATTCTGAGGGGGGGAAAAGAATTAGAATTAGCCTGATAACTTGGAATTGCAAGTTTATATCTCACAATTCTGAGAAAAGATGTCAGAATTGTGAGATAAAAAGTCACATTTCTGTCTTTTTTTCTCAGAATTGCGATTTTTGTATCACGCAATTCTGACTTTATATCTCGCAATTTTGACTTTATATCTCGCAATTGCGAATTTATATCACGCAATTCTAAGTTTATATCACGCAATTCTGACTTTATATCTCGCAATTCTGACTTTATAACACGCAATTGTGAGATAAAAAGTCGCAATTATTTTTTAAATTTTTTTTTACTCAGTGACGGAAAGACGCACCCTAGCGGCAGCAAAAATTATTTCGCAGGCAGTGTGGTGTAGCAACTCTCCATAGACGTTTTAGCTGAAAAAAACAAACTCTGGTCAAGGCCAATCACATCGTGTATAGAGTCGGCTGATTTGTTTGATATAATTAAATTTGATCTAAAATATGCATTTTATATTTATTATATATGCATTATTTAAGTTTATTTATTAGCCACACTTGTTGCATTTTTGTTTTGTTGGACTTGTTTGATATAAATGAAAAATACATCATAAAAATAAATTAAATTTATATTAGCCATTTACCAGTATTGTTTTTGGTAAGTTTTACAATGTGTCGGTCAATAAAATGTTTGGTTTTTTTTCTCTCTGCCCCCAGATATATCATCATCTGTATCAGTACCTGATGACAAGTGGCTCTCTACACTTGAAAGCACTCGCTGGCTCGACTATACCAGGTATACATGCATGTGCATGAATATAAATTGAAACCATATCACACTTTGGGTGCATCATGATCTATTCATGACAGTGCCATATAGTATGTATACTATGGACATGCGTCTTGTGAAGCTCGTCTATGCATAAAATACCTGGAAGACCTAAAATGTGCAGTATGTAAAAGAGCACACCCCTGCATCCCACAATGCAATGCACTAAATTTTAACTTCCCAGTGCATTGCAGTTGATGTTGCCTTTATCAGTGTATCACGCTGTCTGTATGCTTTACCCAGCTGTGTTTGATGTGATTGTGTCTCCACAGGTGCTGTCTGAGAAAAGCCGCAGAGGTCGCTTGTTTGCTCAGAGGGGGTCACATGACTGTTGTTCTCCAAGGTTAGCCACACTGATCATTAACGGCTATCTGACCTGACTGAACTTTGCACCCCACCAGCACACAATGACTCATGTTTGTCTTTGTACTGTTCACACGCATCCAGCAAAATACAATTTGTGCTGAAAAGCTAAATGAATATGGCCTTAGTAGCATATTATGCCCTTTTTTTAAAGTCTTGATTTTGTTTCTGGGCTATACTACAATAGAATGTTTAAAACACATTATTTTTCACATAATTGCAGCACCTCTCTTCCCAGTCTGTCAGTAACACTGTGTTTAGTTCCTGTCTCTATAAAGCCCCTCCTTCTGAAAAGCGCAGTGTGCTCTGATTGGTCGGCTGGACTGCTGTGTTGTGATTGGTCTACCATTTTGAGCTTGTTTGAGAAATGACTCATCCTTACTATAACCGCGAGTTTCAACACTCAACTCTACTTTGGAAATGCCACATCCCTTACCATAACCGCTAGTTTCAGCAATCAACTCTAGTTTTAGTATACTAGCAAATGTCTAAAATCATAATGCACTTCGATTGCACATTTTTTCAAAGCCAGTTTTGATGCTACTTGAAATGATTTCTAAAAATCTTTAGAAATCAAATCTCAAACCAATTGCAGTTTGTAACAATAGGATTTCATCTCTTTTTAACGACACACTCTTAGCAGAAGTCAACGCATACCACAAAGTTGTGATTTATTCTTTTTCCTAACCCGTAAACCAACAAACTACGACATCTGGCAGTGCCCTTCAATTCTTTAAATTCTCATTTCATTTTACAGTCCTCTAAATCGTTTGTTTTTCTCCACGTGACCCGCAGCCGCCCTCCAATAAACATCAATATTCTGTGTGTCTTGACAACCAGTGAATAACTTCAGGAATGAGGCTGTCGCGCCCATCCATCACTGTAAAAGCCTGTTCACCACATGTGTGCTGCTGAGCAGAGGCACTGAGAAACCTCCACGAGAGGGCGATGAAACCCCCTCATCCACTGTTCCAATTTTAGCTGTAAAGCTGGAGTGAATTGCAGATCATCAGATGAAGTGTTGGTTTTTGCTCTGTGTCCCCTCAGAGCCGGAGGATCGAGACATGAACTGTGTGGTGTGCAGTCTGGTGCAGGTGATGTGTGACCCTCACTGCAGGACTGTGGCTGGATTCCAGAGCCTGGTTCAGAAAGAATGGATCACGGCCGGACACAAATTCCTCAGCCGGATCAACTACCACCGTGAAAGTGATAAAGAGGAGGTAAAAGAAAGAGAGGAAGAAAACCGGTTCTGTTCTGAAACCTAGTGGTCTGCCCATATGCATTCAGACTATTGTTATAACAGTGCGAGATTATGTAGACAACTCTTAAAAAAGAGTCTCTTATGCTTATGGCACGAGGTCGGGGCAACCTGTCACTCGCATGAGATCCACCAATGGGCTCTATGCACGGCGTTATTTCCGGGGAAGGATTAAGGATGCTTGATAACTTCCGCCGATCATAGAGTCCAATGCAATACCGAGAATTTATATTGAATTTTATACTCCATGGTTATACTAATGAAACGTTAGTCACAAAAACAGATAAAACAGACACCCCTCGTTGTGTTTATGATTCTTTTTAAAATTATATTAAATAAACATAACTATATATAAAATTACATCTAAACGTATGTACGTTTCGTTTCAAAGACGGGAGGACAGTAAATATTGAAGACTCTGCCATAATCCCGTTTTCTCCGGTTTTCCTCCGCTTTAATCTACACAACCGGAAATGGACGAGCATCCTTACGTCAAATGCGGAACTAATGCGTGCATATAGCCCATAGCAAACCTCAACCATTATGCCTCTACCGCATGGTGTTGCCATATGGGAACATACTCTTTGTGTTCATTTCATTGCCACTGTCTCTTTAAGAAAACCTTCTCGTGTTTTCGTTGGAATGAGAAGGCCTTAATTTAGCAATGATGTGCTTTGGTTAAGTCACATGACATGCAGTTTTTTTTCTGTAGCGAGATTTTTTGACAGACTGCCACCTCTAAAACGTCAGCAACAAACAAGGACCAGCCCATATAACATACACAAAAAATCACCTCAGTTGAGTTATGATGACTTAATTCTCCACTCAAAAATGTTTTTATGAAGTTAGTTTTTGGTAAATCGATCAATTGTCTGCACACTGTGCAATAGTGGAATGGCATTATTGCAATAATTTAGCTAACTAGACAGGTCAGCTGCAATCTGTTAAGCTGTGGCAATAATTGCATCAATGTTATTGAAATAATGTTGATTAGTCCTAATGTTAAGGACTGCCAATATGGAAAGCTGTTTGGACTTTTATTCATTCAATTCTTGATATCTATAATTGTATTTTCACTAGAGAAATGTCACCATAGGCTGCCATTCAAAAGCAATTGTTGATATCAAGAATTGATTACTTACTAGTAAAAATATAATTTTGCTCGAATTTTATTCGAATTTCATCAATAGTTTCTTTGTTAGTAAATATGTGAATTCCTGATATCAATAATTCAATCGTCACTAGTTGAAATGTCTATTCTTGATATCAACAATTTAATTGCTACCAGTAGAAAAAAAAAACATTTTTGAAATTTAAAAAACTCTGATATCAATATTATTTTAGAGATCTAAAATGTCTAAAATTATTTCTAGTAACAATCACATTCATGAAATCAGAAATTAACATTGTCACTAATGAAAATTACATTTTTGACATGAAAAATGAACATTGTTACTAGTTGCAATTCAATTGTTGATATCAAGAATAGACATTTTAATATTTTCTATATTCTATATATTTTTTGAAGAAGAACAGATTATTGCAACTTCTGTTGCATCATTCTGACTCTAACAAATGAAACTTTATTGTAAAGTTGGTAACACTTTACAATAAGGTTCATTAGTTAACTACCTTAGTTAACATGAACTAAGAAAGAACAATACTACATATTAATATTAACTTCAACATTTACTAATACATTATTAAAATTAAAGGTTGTATCTGCTTAGTTAATGCACTGTGAACTAACATGAGCAAACAATGAACAGCTGAATTTTTATGAACTAACATTAACAAAGATTAATAAACACTGTAATAAATGTATTGCTTGTTTTAGTTAATAATAATGAACCTGTGTTACTGTAAAGTTTTACCGTGATTTTGAGGTTGTGAGCACATATGATGCTTAAATGGGCTGGTTTTGCTGAACCTTTTGTCATTTCTGAAATAAATGCTCATGATACTTCAATCTGAGTTTGAATTGAGCTCTGTTGTAAAAGTGTTTAATGCTGTACCTTCGTCCTCCGGCAGGCGCCCGTGTTCCTGCTGTTTCTGGACTGTATGTGGCAGCTGTGGGCGCAGTATCCCGCACGCTTCCAGCTCACTGAAGACTACCTGCTGGCTCTGCATGACAGCGTGCATCTTCCTCTCTTCAGCAGCCTGCTGGCCAACAGTCAGAGGGAGAGATGTCGCCGGTCACAGGTACATGCGTCACGCGTCAAAAAGTTGCAAACTACATTAGAGCTATTAAATGCAGCAATATCTTTACTTGGTGTGCCTTGCATCACCCTTAAGGGCTTGATTTTACAATAAGGCATCATGCGTTTGTAAATTATCCTATTCTTGAACGGCTACTTACCAAATACATGCAATACTGTTCAGAATTTGGGGTCAGTACGTGTTTTTTATGATACTTTATTTAGAAAGTGATAACGTATAACACTGCAAAAGATTTCTATTTATAATAAATGATGTTCTTTGGAACTTTCTACCATTTCCACAAAAATGTTAAAGGAGTAGTTCACTTTTAAAAAAACTTTTGCTGATAATTTACTCACCCCCATGTCATCCGAGATGTCCATGTCATTATTTCTTCAGTCGAAAAGAAATTAAGGTTTTTGATATAATGGACTTTAATGGAAACCAAACGGTTCAAGGTCCAAAAGACAGTTTCAGTGCAAACTACAAACTGTTCAAAGGGCTTTAAACGATTCCAGACGATGAATAAGGGTCTTATCAAGCGAAACGGTCGCTCATTTAAAAAAAAAAAAAAAACAAAGTTAAAGTTTAATAAGCTCAAATGGTCGCCTTGCTCTGTTCTGTCGTGACTCTCCTGTTCGAACTTGTTCATTAAAATGAAAAAAACATTTCCGAGTCAGTTCGTTCATTTCGTTCGTTGAATGAACCAAATGACTTAAAAAAAGATTCGTTCATTTTGATGAACGAGTTTGAACAGGAGAGTCACGAATACGCATCACAGAACAGAGCTAGATGACCATTTGAGCTAATAAAATGTAAACTTTGTCATTATTTTTTTTTTAAATGAGCGATCGTTTCGCTTGATAAGACCCTTATTCATCGTCCGGAATCGTTTAATGCCCTTTGAACAGTTTGAACCGTTTGGTTACCAGTAAAGTCCATTATATGGAGAAACCTGGAATGTTTTCATCAAAAACCTTAATTTCTTTTCTCACCAACCCCAAACTTTTCAGCAGTAGTGTAAATAAATGGGCATGTAATATTTATCCAAGTTATTATCTTATAATTTGAGGAAGGAAAGGAAATGTGGAGTGATGCAAAAACTAAACTAGCTGTTAGAAAACGGTTTATAAACATTAAACCCTAACTATTTTTGTTGATTAGATGCTCTTTTGATCATAAAGTATTGCATATTTCTATTGCCTTTCCTCTGCAGCATCTTCCCCAGAGCTACACCCCAGTAAACGGGCTGAGGGAACTGCCCATGGGCGGCCCGGAGGAGTCGGTTGACCCACCGTTCCCCCCGGTGTGGGACTGGGCCCTGCAGTACAGCAGCCAGAGACGAGTCCGCTTCACCCAACCCGTGTCACAGCCCGCCTGTCCTCCACCCGTCCTCAACGGAAACCTCAACACCAACCTGGACCGCGGCTGGGTAAGAGTTATCTCATCTGCCTTGAGGACAGTGTGAGAAAGTTCACTTTCTACATGAACTAGTTTAAAGTTCAGTTCACACATTTTAAAATGAACTAGTTCAGTTCATAGTTTACACTTCAAAAAATGAACTAGTTCATTTATAGTTCTTTTTTTCCATATGTTGCAAACTTTTTATTATTATTTTTGCCACAGCCCATATACAACCACAGACAATTATTTTATCGACAGGCAGTTTGCACAGAATCGTAAGATTTTAATCCGTTTAAATGATCATACGACGCCACCTCGCTGCTTTGTCGACGGCGGCCGCGGCGTGACACTGGTG